TCCTTTAATATAATATAGTATCATAAAATAATAAATTAGCCTTCTGAGAACACAGAGTCAGATTCATCATTGCTTCATTTGGGCACCCCGCAAATACAATATGCATCCATAAATTTAGTAATTTTGTCATAGAAGGCAATCAGATTGGTCAAGCAGTTGTCAACCTTATGCTGCCTCTTGCAGCTTTCACCGTGAATCTTGGGAAGGAGCATGATCCAAAGCCTGGGGATGGTGGTGCTCCTATCTGGGCACCAATACAATTGTGAATGTTTCTGTAGTGTTTTTAATCTCTTATTTCAACACCTAGAAAATATCAAGAATGTCAAAGAGCAGTCTGCTACTGATGCCAAAGTTAATTGTTGGAGCTTTCTGTTGACAGTGTTGGTGGCTCCATAACCAGCTACGGATGGAACATTACCAGCTGGTGAAGGGAAACTCTGGCAGAAAAGTTATTTACTCAACATCACACGTGTTGTTGTCAAGCAGGAGCAGAGCTCAGGATGTATTCCCTTCTGGTCACATCCCCAAATTCACCACATAACTATGCCAAGAACATGGTCTTCCATTCAGACTTTTGAGACAAATAAATACTTCTTCCATCCAGTGACCTCCGCTTGAGGTTTCATTGCATTATAAATATACATGTCTAACATGTATAACAAAAAAGCAACACAATGGTGAAGTGAATTATCTGGATTGCAACATGCACTTGGCTCTGATAATAAGCACTTACAGAGAACATGAGCTCATTGGGGAATGTTAAAAACTCTAGGATGACAGACTGAAAAAAGCAGGTACATGAACAGAGACAGCAAAGCTGGCAAAAATATTGTTGTTGCAAATGGAAAGTAAACATTTATTTTATGTTTTTACAGGAAATTTCTAGATGTGTGTGGTTTTGTTTTGATTTTTAAAATACTACATTTTAACATAAATATAGCTATACAGATCTGATTTGTGTTTTAAAACTCTGTACAATTTTTAACTTTAAAATGCAAAAAAGCATAGGACAGTGTCTTTCCCCTCTTCTTCCATTCCTGAATCATCCTTGTTTCACCTAGAAAATCACTGGCGTGTCTTTGCCACACATCTTAAAGGTACAAAACAAAGAATCTAGATTTTCTCTCTGTGTGATAAGTAAACTAAAAGGAATTTAGTGCAACAAGGGGAGCCAGACATAAAAGGTGAAAACAGCATAATACGGATTTCCATCCTATCATCAGCTCTGCCTTCTGTATTTGCTAGTTGTTTGGCATGCTCTACTTGTGAAATGGCTGTGAAATGCTTCTAATGTTGTATGTTGTCTCCAGGAGAGAAATGAGGAGTTTCTCATGCTGTGCTTATGCACAGTTCTCCCAAATTAAATTATTCACATGTACATAATAGCTAACATATGAGAAGGCTATTGCTAATTTCCACATAATAAACAGGCTAAATCATCGGCTTAGTTTTGTTGATATAGCCAACCAAGTCAGGGTTTTCTAGTGGTTTGTGGGGTTTTTTTGTAGTTTTCTTTTGTCCTCTTTGTCTCCTCATCTCTATAAATGAACTGTTCTTTGTGTAGCTTTGATCCAGCAGAAAAGGCAGGTATTATAAAACAAGTCCATTAATAATATTTGTAATGTTTATCAAATAACTACTCAACAGATTAGAGAGTGGCAAGGCCTTCCAAGGTGTTAAAACAGTGGCATAATGAATGCCACCAGGGAGGTGAGCCAGCAACAAAATTAAAAAGATATTTAAAGCAACACAACAAACATGTTCTGTAGCTCCTTGTCTAAGAACATACCTGTGGTTTCCTTGCACGCCCACCATGTTTGCATGAAATTACGCAACCAGACATGGTAGGTGGGATGCGTCATTTCTAGATTATTTTTAGCCCAGATTCTTTTGCAGTTCCCTGCACTTCAATCCACTGTGGCTTGGATGTGGTAAAGTTACACAGGTACAAATCAGTATTTGGCTCTTTAGTTCAGTACTTATTTACTGGGAGGTAAAAAGGGACATTTCTTTGTATTACAATTTCTCAGCAAGCATCTTGCTACAAGTAGAAAACCATTATTGTTTAACCAGTGTTATCACAAAACCCAGCACATTTAGGAGCTGTCATGGGGACTGCCTAATCTGAGACCACCACTCTTCTCTAAATTGAGCAAAGAATTGACACTACTAATGTTAGAGGTCAGTATCTTTGTCTAATCATCAAAGTTTACACTTCAGGATACTTGAGCAGGTACATCTCTCCTCACACAGAGGAAACAAGGAGGAGCTTGTTTGCAAGTAATTTTTGCTGTGCAGAAAATGGCACTTGGAGCAACTGGCTTCCCTGGGAGTTGGAGCCATGTCTGCTGGCTGGCTGGCTGAATCATAGGACTAGTCAGCATGACTTCACAGTCTGTCATCTGGATAAAACACAGGAAACCACCTGTGTCTACACTAAGGAGAGGTACTCTATTATTGCAGGATTTACTATCTGTTTCTGAATCTAATATTTTGTTTCCTAAAAGTGCACTGATTTGAATTAGTTTTATTGTACTTGTACAATGGCAGTGTGCATTGTACTTTATTGCAGTGTGATGAGTGGCAAGAGTGAAGTTATGTGGGGCTAGGAAATACAAGGTGTATTGCAGTCTTCAGTTGTGTACTAGGTCCTTTTCCTCAGAATATTCAGAGCCTAACAAACTCTCAGCATTTTAAAAGGCCATTGCCCACTTCATCATTATGCTGGATTTGCTTGAATGCTGGTAACACCAAAAAGAGTTGGCAATCTTTTTCTGCAACCTGTACACTTTGTTTGTCCAAGGAATTAGAAGGAATACCCCAAAGTTTACGTATATCACTGTGTAAACTGAGAAGCAACACAGCATGCCCAGAGAATGGTAACCATGAATGCTGTTGCTGTGCAATGAAAATGATGGGATGCTTGGAATAGAGCTGACAAACCACTACAAAATTCACTGTGAGAGGATGTCTATAAACCACCAAAGGACTAGCTGAGGTGTAGGATGCATGACATCCATTGTTTGAGGGGCTCATGTAGATGACAAAATATCCCTCCATGGCTTTCCAAGAGATGTTGTATGACACAGACAAGTCCGTGGGACCTGATGCGGTGCACTCTACAAGTACTGAGGGAGCTGTTTGGTGTCATTGCAAACCTGCTTCAATTATCTTTAAAAGGTGGTGATTGGCCAAGGTTTCTGCACAACACAAGAAAACATTTCATCCCTATCTTTATAAATAATAAAGGAAGAGGATTCAGGAAACTAGACTTTATCAGTCTCACCTTGACTTTGGGGAATGTGATGGAGAAAATAACCCTAAAAATAACTTTCAGTTATTTTAAGATGGTGTTTAGGAGTAGTCAGCACAAATTCACAACAGAGGAAATCATGTCTAAAGAATCTGATAGCTTTCTACGAAGAGCATCTCACTGGATGATGAGACACCAATGGACAGAGACCCAGACAACCAGGTCTAGGTGGTCTGCTTCAGCAGGGCAATGGACAAGATTGCTCCAAATTGCTCCAATGCTCCAAAGGCTCATTCCAGCCTCAGTCATTCTGTCATTATCTGGCATTGCCAAGGACTACAGTTTGTGCGTATGCTTGACACATACACCAAATAAGCAATTCAAATGCATGATAGGAGATAATACAATGTTTTAGGAGCATCTATAAACTGGAGCTCTGTTTTGTATTCTGTGGCCCAAGCAGCTGGAAAAGTGGATTTCTGCTTACACCATTTAATTACTGCCACAGAGAATGGCACTTTCTGTTTGCCCTAAGTAAAGGTATATGAGCAACAGATTTTGAACTAAGCCTGTGATAAACAGTAAGTGCTTTGGAGTCCTGAGCTGCTGCAGTAAGTGAATCCCAGGGCATTCAATATTAATTCTGAGTATTCACAAAAAAAAAAAAAAAAAAAAAAAAAAAAAAAAAAAAAAAAAAAAAAAAAAAAAAAAAAAAAAAAAAGAGGCAGATTCTAGAAAGAAAACCAGAAATCCCAATTTGGAAAAAAATATATGGAGAAATCTGTGGAGAACAGTTGAAATCAAGCCTGTTGTGATCAAACCTAGCACACTGTTGGCTGTTGTCTGTGCAATGATTTTGTTCCACAATTCAAAAAACCAGGACATCTCTGCACCAACTAATTGGAGGCTACTGATTCTGAGGAGTAACAAATCACATAGGCTTATTAAAAACAAGAACTCACAGCCATGCATCAATGTATACATGAACATAGAATATTTTTAGGTTATTTATAAGGAAGTGTCTTGAATCGGTCTGCTTTCCAACACTCACATTAACCTGTTTATCACCTTAGAACCCTGATCCAGTACAGCACTACCATTCTGCTAACACTCCTGATATCCCACTCCTCTTAAGACCAGACAGACCTATTTTGAATATACTTACAAATAAAAACTCAGGAGAAGTAAGAGGCCAATTAAAATGCTACAGGTGCAATGCTGGGAATATGACAATCATACTTCAAATATCTGTTTGCTTTTGTTTTTATGACTGCGTGTTTACTCCATTAAGTTTTAATGCACACTGAAATGCTGTGAATGACAAGTGGCAAAAATTGCTTTGAAACAATTCCCTGCTGTGACACTTTAAGGAGGACATTGCATTAACAGTTTATTTCAATAATACAAACTTCCAAGAGACTGGAAATTAAGTGTTCCAAATGAGCTTTAAATATAGCACCAGAAGTTTCAGTTTTAATGGACAAAGCCTGTTCCCACTAAATGTACCTTTGTACTGCCAAGAGGGCTTTGAAATAAAATAAAGTGGCAAGTTTGAGGCTATTAGTGTCAGAGTCAGACAAGCCAAGCAATTGATTATGCTGATCTCAGTATTAAAGAAATCTCTTTGCATGAACTCTTATGTTCCCCTTCATTCTGGAAACCAAAGTTATTCCCTTGACAAGGTACCTGGCTTCTAAGGCATTTGTTGAAGCATGAGAAATGCTATAGATGACTGCTTGAATAATTTCCAGATAACAAAGTATCTTTATTTAAAATCAGATATTCATTAATGCTCAAAGTACAGAAAAAGAAAATTTAATTCAAAGAAACTTATAAAAGCTTCTTGTAAAGTAACAGTACTCCTCAGCAAAATCTTAGGTTAATAACTCCAGATTAGTCAAGCCTATAACACCAGACTGAATCATAACAAGAACTGGTTTTTGTAGGATTTCCTTCTTTGGAAAAGCCCAGAAGGTATCACTTTTCATTATGAGGCAAGAAAAGTTTGCCAAGAAAGATATTTAAACTGAAAAGGAACAGACAACAAACAGTAAACAGGAACCAAAAAAAAAAAAGCTTTCACCTTTGAAAGTCTGTGACAAATCAGGCCAAGTCAGTGAAATTACAGTCCCCATCTCTGAATGGTCTTTGTCCAAGAGGCTGCAATGAATAACCTGATCGTAACCCTCATGTAGTGTCGTGTCTGGCATCCCTTCTGGGTGCTTTGGATGCCTTACCTGGCAAATGCCAGTGGAGGTCTGAACAACTGAATCAAACTTCTGGTCTAGCTCAGTTGAGATACTGGGTTGTGAGGCCCTGGTGATGGTACCCACCAGACCTCCACTGCCTACAGCGGAGTTTAGAGAGCTGCCTGTGCCAGCCCTGACACGCAGACACACAGTACAGGACTCCGTCTCAAACTCTCCTCCTCTCAAAGGCAGAAAAAGCAGCCATGAGCTGTCAGTACAGTGAGGAGCACGGAGAAAGGTAAAATCTTTAGTTATATACTGAGAGCACTCAGGTAATTGGAGCTCCAAGATCTTCTTGCCCTTACCTGCAGTACTTGAGTCTTCAGAAAGATAAATATAGTGTCAGAGGCTTCTGATTAATTGTATTTTAATTCCTGATGGTTTGCATTTTAACTGCTTAACAAAAATGATATTTACTAAGCAGAAAATGTAATTACTGTAACCTTCATTTCAAAATTGCTACAAAATCAAGTTATAAAAATGTATTTTTAAGGATATGCTAGTGTTTACTATTCAAAAAAACCCCAGCCAGTATCATGTAAATGGTTTTATTCTCAAAAAAAGTCAGCAATATAAAATATTTTAACATTCTTTCTGTTTAAATATTGGTGACAGATTATGCATTCGCTCAAATAAAGTGCTGTTTTTACAAATAGGTGTTTTGTTTTTACTTTTACTATTGTTCTAACATCGTAATATTGAATAGATAAAGTATATTTTGGTTATTGAAGAATGCAGCATTACTTCTCCTTTATATTTCTTCCCATGAAATCATTACATTTTCAACCTAGACTACTTTATCTGTATCCAATCAAGAGAGGCATATCCAGCTTATGTACTTCCCCATGTAGAAAGGGTCACAATTTGTGCTGTCCTTCTTGCTTTCTTCCATGCTTTTGTTGCTCTTGACTGTGCCCATGTTGGTCTCCTGTGGGTTCTTCATCTATGGGCAAGAGTGGAATGAAACCTCCATCTTCCTGCATGTTCACCCATTCTTCCTGCTCTTCTGACTTTGCTCTTCTTGAATTCAGACCACTGATGCCTTGAACAATCCAACACTTAGGTTCAACTACAGAGGCAATCTCTTTACCTTCTTTGCCTTTCTGTAGGTTTTGTATTTTAAGCACGCTACTGCAGAAAATCCTATGTCAGTGTAGTCAGGACTAACTTTTCAAATTTTCATTTGTATGGATTTGCTTAGTCAGATGCCAAACTTCATCATAAAAAATAAAAAACACTTTTGTTCCAGTAGCTACCTTTTAGAAGAAACGGCTTCTTGTGGTTTTGAAGAGCAGCCAGGAGCTGTAAGAAGGAAAAAAGAAGTCTGAAAAACTGTAATCATCAAGACTCACAACTGTAAACAAGAGAGTAATTCCACAACTACTGGAAACAGGCCCGCATTTCCCAATGTACATGTTATACCAGTATCTAACAGTTTGATCCTGCAATTCATTTTACTCATCTTAAGCCATCTCCTTTAAGGAGAAGGTATAAAAAGTCAAACTCATGTGTGAAAAAGATCACCTACTGCCACAAGTTTTGAGTATCTCTCTTTTCTCAATGTGCACCTTTCCAGTAAGCAATTATCTGAATCCTGTATGATTTGTATGCAAGTCTGTATTGATTTTGCTCCTATTTTTACTTCTCTCTCTTTAATCTCTAATTCCCTCCTCTGGATAATTTCCATGTGATATTTTTGAGTCTGAATCCGAAAATGAGAAGTAAATACACAAACAATTCTGTATCTGCAGATATATATGTATCTATCAATATATATAACATACTATAATATGTAGAAAGAAACCAGAGGACCAGAATTTCTACTAACTATAGACTGCATGGCATCATATTATTTTTTCATCATAGGTATAGGTACTCTTCACTTAAACTTTTGCCTGGAGAATATTCAGTTTATTCTTTTGAAATCTATCTCCAGCTTTTGTTCGTTGCTGCTACCAGATGTTGAGATTTTCTCTTCCCACCTATCAGAAGTGTTGTTTAGACTGGGGAGAGCAGCTAGATGCCTGTACCAAGTGACAAGGCTGATCTTTTTCTTTCAAACATTTCAATAAACTTGGCATTAAAAAGCAAACGAAGTTAACTGGTAGTTAGCTTTACCTCCAACCAATCTTAATGGGATTTTTCATAATGAGTTTAAGAAATATCCTAGCAGAAAAAGATTGTGTCCAAGTACAAACCTTGGATGCTGTCTTGCATTTTTCATGAAATTTTTGTAGAAATAGCAAATTCTGTTGCAAGCCATAAATGGGCAAGGGAACTTCCATGAGGTGTTTCCATTTTTTATCAGAGGATTTAACATGCAACACTTCCTTACACATTTATTATAACTACAATAACTAGCACATAGGATTTTAGGTCTACTCTTCTGGAGGAAATTATTTCAGTTGTTCCCCCCGCCCCCACCTTTTCTTTTCATAAGAATTCACATGCCCTTTTTTCAGCTTTTCATTTCTGATTTGGCAAGTTTGTGTTGAAATGCAACTTTGTCTTCTTTGGCATCATTTGTTTCAATTAACCTGCTGACCAATGCCAGATCCGTTCAACCTCTTGATTGCACTCAGTTAATGGGAGCATGAATCTTAACACAGCCCCCCAAAATAAACTAAACAATTAGTCCTGGCAACTAGGCATTCAGACAGTCCAATTTTCTTTTTTACCAGAATCCTGTAAAGTCACCTCAAACCACAAACAAACTTTTCCTGGGATAGTATTATTTTTTAAATTCCATTCTCTCAAAAAGCTGGACTTCATGCTGCCACTTGCTGTTTCACTGAAGTTGGAATCCAGACAAAGGATCCAGACATTTTGTTCCTCAGAGCCTCAGGCCTCCATGGGCTGGTTATCTGCTCTAAAAGGCAAAGCAGCACAGTAATTCTGTGTTTGCTGGACACATTCACTGGGCTGTAAAGAAGCAGTACCTTCCTAGTAGTTTCTCTTACATGGACAGGGTGCATTGTCAATTTTCCAAGACATAATAGTAGTCAAACCACCAAAGTGTCAAAACCTGCTAAAATGTTCACTCTTGGAATGAATAATTTTATCAGAATTTTCTAAAAATGACCAACTAATTTCCATAAAAAAGAGATGGAGGCAACATTCTCCATGCAAGTACTGTTTGCCTATTCAGAATTCATGGTGCTTCCAAACCAAATGGCTTGGGGGTCCAGTAACCTCTGAATCATTTACACTCCTCTGCCTTACGCAGGTCAGGCAAGGACTGGAGAAAGGAATTCACACAGCCTAACCTAGTGTCCCTGGCATGGAGTGAAAGGATTCCATTTCAGAAACATTTATGTGGGAGTCCAAGACAGCTTAACCTGAAGTACTAGGAAAAAAAGAATATGAAACAAATACACAAAGCAAGTAATAGCAAATTTCTAAGGCAGATGTCCTAGAGAAGCAGAAGGATTAAGCAGCGGAACTGCTGTGTACAGAACACAGGTTGTTGTTCAAACTGTCACATCACTGAGATGTGATAACAGTGATGCAAATCTTTTTAATGGTTCAACAGGAAATACAGAGAAACAGAGGCCAGTGAGTTGGACAGTAATACCAACCAAATTAGTAAAAACTGTAACAATCTAAAATTTTGTTGAAAACAATCAAGAAGGGATTTTTGAAGTCTTGCCTCACCAACCTACTAGAATTCCTTGAAGGTGCCAACAGTCTTGTAGATAAAAGAGGTCCATTTGATGCTTGGATTTTGACAAGGCATTTCATAAGGTCCAAGGTTAGCCCTTAAGATAATAAGGAACTCAAGAGGGTAAAAATAAAATTTCTTATGCGGATAAATAATCTGTTAGGGAGGCAGAGGACAGAAGTTTGCAGTAAATAGTGATTTTTTCCACAGTAGAAAGATTCACCACTAGTATTTCATAGGCATCTGTATAAGGATACTCAGGATATGAACAGTATATTCAATATATGATTTTGATAGGGCATATAGAATGAAGAGGAAAACCTTCCTAAGTCATGCATGTAAATAAAAAGAAAGGTAAACAGAAGACTGGCAAAAATACTTGAGATGACATTTGTGCCTAAACAATAAGATAGTTTGGTGAAGATAAATAGGAAGTAATACGAAGTAAGGCAAATGGAAAAATGATACATGTGTGTTTATATAAAATTATAGGTTGTGAGCTCAAACTCCGTAGATCAGCTGGGTTTTAAGAGGTAATTTGAATTAATACCATTCAGTGACAAGATTTGGTGAAGCTAAATAGGAAGTAATATGAAGTAAGGCAAATGGAAAAGATGATACATGTGTGTTTATATAAAATTATAGGTTGTGAGCTCAAACTCCGTAGATCAGCTGGGTTTTAAAAGGTAATTTGAATTAATACCATTCAGTCTTCAATTATAGCCAACACAGCAAAGTACCAGAAATAACTAGAAAAGGGGAAGAGCATGGAAAGCAGAGAACACAACTGAAAAACAAATATCAGTCTGTCATGTAAATCCATAATATGCCTACATATTGAATACTGTATGCTAGGCTGGTATCTCCCAAGTCTGAAAAGACAACAGCAGAAAAGGAAAAGAGGTTAGAAAACCTATGGTATAGGGAATGACAAAGCAGCCTATAAGCCTTCCCCTCAAAGAAACCATGAATGAAGAAGGATATCACAGTGATCTGTAAAGTCATCAGTGGCATGGAGGCAGTGAAGAGGAAACAACTGCTCATTGTATCTTCTGATCCAGTACGATGAAGCAAAAGAAGTCAGGACATGGGAAGTTCACAGCAAATGAAAGCAAGCAGCTCTTCAAATCAGTGTCAGATCAGACTGGATGAAAAAGTTGCACACAATTGTATGGACCTTGGATCTGCCTTGGTACAGCTGCTCTTATGCTCTAAAATATTACACATTCCTGGAAATAACTTCAAGTTCCAGAGACTGCATAAGGATTCCACTGCTACTTTTTACAATAAAAAGCAGCTTACCTGGTGCAGAAACTTCTTTTAGCTACATGTTCTCTTCCTCTTCTCTATTAGTGCTTCTGTTTCTGTTTCACAGCCAAATCTATATCATGGAGCTCTCATGCACAAAAACCCAAAAGCCAGATCTCTGATGGCAGCCTTCTTGCAGCCTCTTGTCAAAAGCTCAACAGGAGCAACTGTTGCCTCCATTCTTACAAAAGGATGTTCTCTCCAGCTCTGAGCCACCATTCTTGTCCTTTGATGTCTTCAAGACACTTAAGGTCAGCAAGTTGCTTGGAGATACATTACACCTCTATTCCAGTTCTTTGCACCATGTAATCAAATCCCAAACAGCTTCTGCTCACCTAGTAATACCTACAGAAGAGGCTCTTCAGCTCTGGGATGTTACCAAGAAACATCCAAAAGTTCCCACACGTGCTGACTATGCTGAGAATGAAAGTTGCACAATACATACAGGGACACCTGATAGTGGCTTTCAGCCAAGCAGACTACACAGAATACTGGAAGTAGCCCACATTATTCACTAACTACCCCAACAATTCCCAGTTTGCCCCAAGACATTAGTAGGCCAACAGTTAGCACCTGCTTTCACATATCTAGTGAAATGCAGCTGACTGAGATTGGAACAACTGGGACTAGCTCACTATTAAGGTTTCCTAAAGCATACAATACCCGAATTATTTAGCATAGCCCCTAAACAAATGAAATTATTTTGTGAGTAGATGAAAGCAGCAAAATAAACAATGCAAGAAGAAGCACTTTTAACATGGTGAACTTCTCAAGGCTATTCAATGACTTTCGTTGTTTCTACTGAAACATGGATACAGAAGTACATGTGGGAATAGGTTATGCCCTATGCTTTAATCTGGAGTAACAGATGAGTATCTGCCTTTGTTTCAGGTGGCTGGCAGGACAGAGATTTGCAGTTTTTATATCTGACAGTAGGAAATGTATTCAATTATTACAGGTCAGCAACACCTTCCTGTATGTTTTGGTTACAGACAATACATTTTAAAAGGCAGTTTCTCCAGCTTGGCCAGCTGGTTGGCAGATAACACTAGTGCTTGGAATACATGTGTTCCAAAGAAACCAACTATAGATAATCATATAAAAATAGCACCTATGCAAAATAACTAACTACATACATACATAAATATATAATTAACATAGCTGCCTAAACCATTATGCTAAATTGTAAATCTTGAATATATTTCTTCTACCTGATCATACTAAAGTATCTCCTATAAAGAGTATGCAAAAGTTAATTATTTATCATACAGGAACACCTCCCACTGATGCTACATATACACATACAGACACTATAGACAGTACACTGTATACTGTGGTTTGCTATACTTACATCCATTTTCTGTATTTAGTAATGCACAATAAAAATCTTATCCTTATTTCAGATAGTAATTAAGGGTGTATAAACATCTTACATACCTTACATCTTAGATACCTCTACTTTTTATACTGAAATCTTCTCTACAGTCTCAGCAAGAGACACACATCATTAGCCAGGAAAGCAGCTAACTGGCTTGTTTGTCACATTTTGTCTTCCAGCCAGTACTAAATAAAATATCCACACATTTGGACATTAGGAAGATTTCTTGCACTGAATGAGTGATTAGACTTTGGAATGAGCTGCCCAGGGAGATGATGGAGTCACCATCCCTGGAGGTGTTTAAGAAAAGACTGGACGTGGCATTCAGTGCCATGGTCTGGTTGGCACGGTGGTGTTTGGTCAGAGGTTGGACTGTATTATCTCAGAGGTGTTTTCCAACCTAACTGATACAGTGATTCTGTGATTCAACCTGCAATATGTTTTTAAATTCATTTCAGGTGCTACTTACATTGGGAATGACCTGGCGGCCGCGTGTTACTAACACTACTCTCAAAGGAAGAGTGGAAGTTGTGTATAGTTTCTTGTAAAATCTGTCTCTCCCGACCCTATAAAAGAACAATAAAATAAAATAAGGTATTCTTAAATTTCTGTTTAAAAAATGAACTTATTAAAAGTACACAACAAATGTGTAAATATGTGTGTCTAAGTTCAGTATACTATCAGAAATAATAACAAATCCTTACCTTACAGACATACATAGAAAACTTGTAGTAATCTTTTCCTGAAACTACCAGACAACAATAGAAACATTTCCATTATTTTCCTCCTATCTTTATGGCATATCTTAGTATGGAACATCATCTACCTCCCCTAATTTTTAGCCTCATCACTACTGTTGATACTGACTTAGGGAAATTGTCTTTTTGTTTTGTTTGTCTGAACTTCCACTATCAGCAAGGGAATGGACCTCAAATCTAAGAAAGCTGCTGAGAAGCATCAGCAAGCCTAATCAAAGACATGTTCCAGTATAAAATCCCTCTGGCAAGAGCACTGTTTACTGTACACCATTCTTAGCAAATTAGTTTACGTCAACATAAAATTCAAAGGCAATAAAAGTGTAAGAAACGAGAGAAAAGCTATTCACACAATCACAGAGGAATAAAAACCTTTTATGTTAACCAAAGGACACCCTTCTTCTTCTACTGTATTCTCTAGATGCACTATTGCAGCCAGTTGATTCTTTTTAGCACTGCTGAAATCAATATTCAGAAACTGCAAAATTGCTCATATTTGCACGTAGCTTGTTCACTGGAATAGGAAAGAGTTATTGAAAGAGAATGGGAAGTGCCATAAAGGAAGACTTTTTACTAGTCAAATACATGAAACATTACATTTGAAAAAAAATATTTTAGCTTTTCTAACTAACATCTGTAACTGAATTTCAAAATGTATGTTGTATTAATTTTATAAAAAACTTTGAAATAATTTACTAAGTACAGTACTTTAAAATTTACCTTTCCTGCATTCAATTCAGAAATAGCTGCCAAAATTTGCTGCCTTGATCCATCCGTTTTAATACCCAACTCTTTCAGATCACCATCAGTAAGTGTGAGAAAAGCTTCCATATCCACCTGCATATTAAAAAAAAAAAGAAATAAAAGAAAAAAAGGTAAGAAAAATTTACCTATGTGAAGACTCATTACTACAGGTTAAAAGTGGTTTGTTGGGGTTTTTTTAATTGCATAGATTTAATGTAAATATTGTGCAAAAAAAATTTTTAATGAATTACCAGCACCAAATGGTACACAATTTACCACTCTGTTGTAAGGCTTCTAATCTGCTGTTAATCATTTAACTAATCATGATAGTACATCTAAAATATTAAGGGATTTTTAGGTTTCTTCCATCAAGTTCTATTAATACAGAATATATAGTCTCCACAGAAATTCCTCTGCCTACAGTAGAAGCTACTTGAATAAACGTAAGGCTTCTCTCTTTTCTTCATCCTTTCCCCATAAGCATTTCTGGAACTTCAGAATACTGTGTTTACTTTTCCTGAGAAAAGCCTAGGTTTTGTTCACGTAACAGTTTTTATTATAACATATCCCTAAGGTTGTGATAAGAACAAACATCTGAAACTTTTCATATTGACTGAACCTTCCCACACTAAGTATATTAATTTCTACACAATGCTCCCTTGCCTATCATGCAGAGGAACAATAATAACCCAATCTATTGTGATGCAGCTAAATTGTTCTGGGCTTGTGCTGAATTTTGAACTTTGTAGCAATGTCAACTTAGTGCACGTCCATTCACTATCCTTTTCTTTGACCAAATAAACACACAGTATTTGCTCACATCTGATCCTGCTTTAACATTGTAATGAATTAATTTCACTTATTTTCAGCAACATTTCCTGACATTGCATCCTTCAGCAAGTCAGTGTCACAGCTCTCATCTACTATGATGCCTATGCTCCCCAATTTAATTCTCCTATTGCTTATGCACAGCAGATAAAGAAGATAAAGCAGCCATCTCAGTGACTCACACCCTGCTGTTCTCCTTCTGAAAATGAGGTTCCAGCTGTGATTCCAGGGATGATACAGTATGTCCTATGAACTGTTTAGCCACGTTGGACAGAGACATATATAGAAAAAGCAGAGTGTAACAAGCAGAGAGAAAAAAACCCCCTATGTATAGAAAAGCTGTAGGTTAAGTGTAAAAAGTTCTGCTAACTGCATTAGTTTGGAGAATGCCACAAACACCACTTGGTCCATGTTTCCTTTCTGCAACCAGGAATGGTTGTAGAACTTGACTCTGGATCAAAAATCTGAATGCAATGTCTTATACCCTACTTTCATTAAAACAGTAAAAAATAAAGAAGATCTTCTAGAAAAGACCCACCTCCTGTTCCTCAAATATAGGCTGATATTTCTCAAGTGACAATTTTTTAAGGATGCCAGTTAGCTCATCTGTAATAACAGAACAAAACAAAATAAGTCAACCCCACAGATTAGAAAATATTGTAATGATCTCAGCATTATAAACTGAAAATATATATTAAAGCCTGTACTTCCCACAGTCATTTATGGTAAGAAAAAAAAACCAACCCCATTTATTCTCCATCAGAAATTGAAACATTGGCTTATTCTGTTCTCACCTACTTACATATACTGTAATTCCATCTAGTCTTACCTTGCTAGGATAAATACCGTTGTATTGCCCTTTCTACCTCATTAAAAGGATCTTACAAAACCAAACCAGTAAGGGCAACTAAGGCACTTCAATGCCTAAAATGCGAGTGCTTGGCCCCAGATGGCTGATCCAGATTGTGCAGGTTACACAGCAGAACTCCTCAAGCAGGCAAGGAACTGAAAGGCATATTTCTGTGTCATCATCCAGGAAGGCAAAGTGTAGAGCAAGCAACCACACACCTGCTCATTCAAAACACTGATACAGCACAGGTCTTTCTGAACCCTCTTCTCCTTATGTGCCCAACATCCAGGCATCCTGAACACAGACAGCTGAAGTCCAGCTAAGATGAAAACTGGACAGAATTTAAGTTTTACAAGCTCACCTTCCAAGGCTAAGAGCACTAAATATTGTCTTTGCTCCAAAAGCCTAAGGAAATTAAATGTTGCAGGACCTGACAGTGACTCTTCCCACACATGTGAAATGTGATTAGCTAAAAAGCATAAGTGCACTTTCTGAATAACCTGACATTACCTCTCTTAATTACACATTACATCTCTCAGCTCAAGTTTTCTTTTTATTACTTTGCTGTCACGAGTAACTAACTGTTTTTTCCCCTGAAGTACCTAAGGGGTCAGTTAAACTAAGTAGTCAAAGTCAAAATGAAGAACATTAATTATTACATTATAAAACAAGACTATATTTAATATTCTGCATATAAACTCACTTTCATTTTAAAGACACCACTAGTCCTTTATCAAATATACTTTGTTTTAATCTATTTCACTTCTTTGTCTTTTGACTTTCTTTTTTCTTTCATCATCACTGGAAACATGAAAGAGAATCTCATATTCTAAGCTTCTCAAAAGACATCGAGTACCTTGACATAAACAGAACTCTGTGTACTATTTTGGAAGACTTCTTTACATAGGAGAGTCCACAGATAACTGAAGAGAAAAATTCTAGTTGAGTCTTATTTTCTGCCAGGGTTTTGTTGTTTTTTATTTTTTTACTTTAAATTCAACTAACTTGCTATGCCTAACAAGATTTGCAGAAGTTGACATGGTCTCAGACTAAAGCTTTAGTACCCTGACATTAATCCATGGGAAAACACAATCAGTCTTAAAAACGTATATCCTTATTGTTTGATGAAAAATGTCATCTTAGAGAAAGAAAACAGAATTCTCATTAGATGACCTTTAAGTACATTATTAACATTTTTTTATAGGTTGTTAGTTACCCTAACTCATTTTTCATTGTGCTGGTATGATTAGAACTGTAGGCCATGATATGGGAAGAAACTTTCAGGGTATCTGAGCTCAGTCTTGTTGTCATAAACAACTGTAACACCAAACACCTTTCACACACAGAGAACGCTTTCAGGTGTAGGCCCTTCATGTTTCCTCTTCCTCTACCCCTCTTCCAGCTCCTGTACTATTACTCTAAGGCTGAACAAAACCTGAAACCTCTCAGTTTTACAACTCTTAACATGTTTGTCCTGTGCTTTACCACTCTATTTGTTCTACACTTGTCTCCTTACCTCCATGCCAGGAGCAAGCTAAGGTTCTTGGAGCTCTTACTGCTTTTGCCATGTTACTCCTATTTAGCACCTCCTTTCTACTATTCTATAGTAGTAAGGTAAGATTACCTTTTTCCAAGTTTTCAGAGCCTTCTTTTACTTTCACATGGTTTCGTCTTTCATAATTCTCCACATCACCGGCTCTCAGAATAGGGCCAAGTTGTTGATGGTCCATCAAATGGTTGCCTAAAAAGAAACAAAAAAACATCTCTTAATGCTGCTGCCTACTGTTCCTTCATAGTAACAGTCAATGTAAATCAATTTTCTTACTCATTTAAGTTCACTTGAAAGAAAAGTTTACACTGCAGACCTTCTGTACTTATTCTTCTGATTACTGCTTGGCATATCAGCATTTGTACTGCTGCTGCTGAATCAAACATCAGTAAGAGAAGCCCTGGAATTAAAGGAGCACTCAACTACAAAAGCTTATAAACATAATGAACCCAGAGCTACTTGGGTTTCTGACAAACAACCTCTGCTACAGGGAACTCACAGTATCTTGGCATTAGTGCACAGTCACAAAACCGAACTTCACTGAGTAAGATGAGAGCAGCTGATGGCTTGGGGAATTTGCTTCATTATCCAACAGTGAGCTCTCTTAATTGTATGCAGCTCTAAATCAGCAAAACTTGTATTAGCACGATCTCATTATAAAATGGCACTAAACATGAAAGGATTTGCTCCAACAGTCACTAGAATATGTTACAGCTAAGCCATAAGAAGAGGACAGAAAGAAGGTCAAGTATCACCTGTCTTCAGCTTCAAATGGAATTAGTGTTAATGGACAAAGCTGGCGTAAGTGAAAATAAACCAAAATCAATAGCGATAATTTCAGAAAAAAAACAAAAATAGTACAAAGTACCTCCATTCCTTATTTAAAAGGTTCTAACTCATGCTATTTTCTTCACTTTTTTTGTGATATTTACAAGAGAAAACCAAGTTATTGATACCCTGTTTCCAATGCAGTAAAATGACTTCTAAAAAGTTGTAATCTAGATGTAAAAGCCTAATTTAAAAGATACTAATCTTACTGGAAAGAAAAGTAATAACATCATCATTCTTTCTTAGGACTTTAAGTTAAAAAGAGGTTGTAATAAGGTTATTTTCACAATTCAGAAAGATAAATGCACTACAGCTCTTAACTTCATGTAGCTATGACTTGCTATGGATGAAAAATGTTATCTGTAGTGATGTGCTTCTCTGCATTTACTAATAAAATCTAGTGTGAAAAAAGGCATTTTGTACCCTCAGCAAAGGGTGAAAAATAGGACTTAAGCCATGAAGGGGGGGAAAATGTGGCCACGTAGGAGAGGCCAACCTACACATTCTATGCTAGCTTTGACGTGATAACAAGTCTCTCTGTAAATGGAAAGAAACACAGGTTTTGGGAGAGAAAAAGGCAGTTTGTGCAGGAATGCCAATCTCGCTGTAAGAAATACCACAATATATTCTAGAAAGAAGGGAGACCACACTCTCATGCAGATACACACTAGTCCAGTACAGTTGTAGCTTTAAACACGTAGTATTGTCGATGAATTAATCTGTAATTGCAGTGAGCTACTCACCATCCTCTGTAATAGTACCACTGCTGGAGCCATTGCTCTTGGCATGTCTGTGAGAAGAAGAGACAGAAGACTCTGCGTTTTGAACCTTAGGAGATGGGGAAGGTGATGGAGAAGGTGTGAGAGTTGGTGATGTGCTTTTAGACGTAGACGAAGTCCCAGATGGAGGTCTTTTGTTCATCTCCAGTTTTTGCTGCAGTTAATGATACAATTGAGTTAAAAAATAATCACAAAAATGTTCACCTATACATGATGCTTCGACATTATTTAAGTTGTGTATCATTTCTGAGAGCATGTAGCTACAATGAGAAATTACTCCTTGACCTATATTAAAATCATAGAAGCAATAGTGATTTTATCCCACATTAAAGTCTCTCTCCTCAAAATTATCAAGAAAAATACATTTATTAAGGCTGTAATTTTGTAATAGGAAAATTATTTCTTGTGAAGAAACACTGCCCACAAGCACTACAACTTTTCTTTTTCTAAAAGGACTATCTCGGTTTAAGTACAGGTGGCACCTATGCATCACACAGTCTCTCACTCAACTCCCCACCTCCCTTGGAATGTGCAGAAGCAGAAGTAAAACTTGCATTAGAAATAAAAAGTTTAATAACAGAAACAAAGTGAACTACTTTGACTTGAAAACAGGAATTTTCATTCATAGATTTAAGTCTCAATTAAAGATTTTGAAAACATATGAGATGCTAATTTAAAGTAGCACTTCACGCTGGATTAACCAGAAACATGCAGCAAGCACAAAGAAAATTCTGGGCACATTAAACCCCTCTCTGAACTGGAATAGAAGTTTCCAGCCAACCCACAAATTTATTATTACCTAACAGGAGTCAAGTGATTTATTAATAATTTAGCAAATATGTAATACATTTGTAGCTAGGGAAAACAGGAAAATACATGAGGTAAAATGGGTAATAAGAATATATGTATAAGTACACATATCAACAGTCTTTTACAAAAATCATCAATGCACCTCATGTCCTAAAATCTTTGCGCTACATATACATTTTGATGTCTGCACTGTATGACCCAAAAAGAAGGTGATTTTTTACTGGATTCCTGAATTCAGAGTTTAAATACCTTTTGCACTCAGGCTTCACAACAAACTGGTTAAAAAACTGATCTAGGTAACAATGCAAGAAACGAGAACGACAGTGGTTCCTGTCTTTACAATTTTGCTTCTGTCCTCTGACATAAATGGAACATTTCTAGTTAATGAAAAAGATGCAGATTTAAAAGATAAAACTCACTTGAGTGGTAACATTCTTCCATTACTCTATCCTATGTCAGAATGTAATACTTCCTTAGCCCTGCACTGAATTGACTAGAAGTAATGTAGTATGATACAAACTTGAGAGCTCCTTGAAGAGCATAATGAACTGATTTCAACCTTCTCTCCCAAATTTCCATCTAAATTGTTATTGGCCATTTGCATTGCAGAATGGCCTTCTCTCCCTAGCACACTGAGTGCATTTATTTAAATTACATTATTCTGTAAAATGTTACTCATTTTTTTCTTTTCCTTTCTTTAAAGCTTGCACCATCTCACCCCTCGCAGGTAAGTTTTGCAAAATTGATCAGTGTAGTATCATTTTTTAGATCACCTATTTCCAAGTTTAGACAGCATGATTCTAATGGGAGGACACAAGCTATTCCTCAATGGATACAGACATTAAATTTCCACCATTTACATTGTGATTACAATAACACACTGCTAGACTTTGCAGCTAGTGTGGATCCATATTTAATTGTGTTCTTCCACCAGGAATCTCCAAAAATCACCTCAGTTGTGTGATACATGAATAACTATAGTGAGATCCACACTATGACATGTTTTGTTACTCGTGGATAGAAGGAAACTCATCTAGACATCTAAGCCAAGAGCACTGAAAAAAGACTGTTGGCTTTCCAAAACAGTGGCATAAATGTTGTTTAAAAATCTTTTCAACAGTACAAAGAACAGCCTTTCCAGAAGACGATCTGCAACACATTGCACTTCTCTACTCTTTTATCCTCTAATGTATCCCACTGTGAGTAGAAACAGTAGTTAAACTTCTTAGTGGCAGCATTGTAGCAACGAAAGGCCAAGGGATCTGCAGCTCAAAGCTCACAGGCACAGGTATTATCTCTTAGTGGGATGATTAATATAACTGGAGAAAAATGAGACTTTTGGGGGGTACACAAGGAGCTCTTCTGAAATTATTTCCAAGTTAAAAACAAGCTGAGAGGACATGCTGAGAGTTTAATTAAAACATACTGGCCAGACTACCTCTGAGAGAAAAAGCTTTGGGTAGCTGCACTGCAGACAAGACTTTAATGAGGGAAGAGGATGATAAAGGGGCTTTGTCTACAGGAAAAAGAGATGGATCATTTATAACTCATGGAGCAGTTACACAGGATAGAAAGGGAGCAAAGATTACCATATGCCAAAGAATTGGTATAAATCCTCAGACTCTGGTGGTCCAGGCCGAGTTAGAAATTTTAGCTCCAAATCTCATCTTTGAAAAGCAACAAGTAGCTCCTCCAGAATCAGGACTGATATATCAGAGACAAGGTGACTATTCATGAAAACTGTTTCAGCATTGGTAGTTGCACCTTTTCTTTTTTGGATTTTTGTTCTCCAGAAATTTCCATGTAATTTCTGAACAACTTTACAATTACGTTTATCAATTTTATATACTGATTAAATATAAATATTGTGTACTGTTGCCATACAAGACATCACAGAATGATATTGCAAAAGTATTAAGTTTATACTCTGGTCATTTTTGTTTCCTCAGGTAAAATTTGAAGAATCTACTGAAAGATGCAAAAAAAGCAAAACAAAACAAACGCTTGGAGATTACATAAGCGAAAGTTGGAGAAATGTTGCTCTTGCTCATGTATTATAACATGTCCAGAATATCAGGCATTAGAACATAAACCCAAAATTTTGTGTTTTCCTTCTCTTGCTCTCTGAAATGCAGTGTTTCTCTAAGTAAATAAACCCATCAATTTCTCAATAGAATGTCACATCTTGTGTTATGATGCTGCTTTCTAGTTTGTGTCTCTGCAGATCTTGAAGATTTAAAATCTTAACTATCAAAAATGTTGTACAAAGCAGTTAAGAACTTCAAAGTATGTGAACAAAAATGTGCAGGTCTGAGAGCAAAGCTATTCCAGGGAATTGACAAGTAAGTCAGCACAGACAGTACGGCCTCAGGAGCAAAACCTGACTTTGGTGATGCCCTACTGTTTAAAAATAACACCAGTGGAGCAGACTGGTTATGTACATATTGTTGTAGTCACCATATCCTGGTACAAATTATGTCATACTCTGCATTCAGGTTGAGCCTTTGAAGGGAAACTAGCTAGAGAAATTAACTATACCACTTCAGGTTAAAATCCAGGAATAACTAACATAAAACACTGTATCTAGTCCATAGAAAGAAATAATGAGAAACCATAATAGTGCAGATCTACTCTAAAATCAAGCATTACATTTACTTTTTTTTTTAAAATAGAGTGAAATTAATAATGAATTAAAATCATGTTTTATTATTAGATTTCATCCTCTGTGGACTTAAAAGTAAGGTTTGTAGAGATGAAAAGCTTCCACTAACGTAGCAAGTGTTCATTCTTTTTTGGCTGTCCAATGTTGTGCACCAGCCACCCATGACTGAGATATGACCTATTAGCCAATTTGGAGTGCAAAATTTTACATTTCCCATTACCTTTACAACATGTCCATTGCCAACATTCTGAGCACACTGCAAATCTGACACAGTAGATGAAGGAGTTGACTGGACTGGACTATGCTGCTGGCTGGGTTTCTGTTCAGGTAAGCCTGCTGCTTTTCTTCTTTGGGCTGCAATCTGAGATAAAACATTATCTGCACTGCCACCTAGAACAAAAACCAAAATTAACCCAGTAAAGGAAACCACAATTTTGAAATGCTTTTTAACTCTCAAACATTCACTTTCATTTAAAAACTGACTGAGACAATTGCAAGGTTCAGCTCTCTCCAGCAGCTTGCAGAATAAAAAACAGAAATCAGTAACAGAAGAGGGAAGCCAGCCCTGTCTACACACACAGAGATGACTTTCATACCCTTGGACATAGTTTTCTTAAGCCACTTGACAATATTGTCTTCAGCAACTACCAGGTACAATGCCTGCAAGCTTTGGTTTTAATTGAAAACTGTTTTTTTATTTCAAACAAAAAGTAAGCAACAGGCATAAGAGTCAGCTCTATGACATGCATGGTGCAATGAGCCAGCATCCACCTGATCCACCACAGGAGGATCCAGTAAAATCTGCATGAGATGGGTGACCACTGAGACTTCTGTAACAGATATGAGGCTCTTCCCTTATGTAGGTGTTTGAAGTCCAGTCCTCTGTGTGCTAAACTTACAGAAGCTTTTCCTCTACAGTGGTAGGAGCACTCAGAAAAGGTTTAGCATCTTCTACCATCATCACAAACACTGATTTTTTTAACTGAATCAGATACAAATTACTTTCTTATTAAAAATGGTACCTGATCTGTTATGCAGTTCTCCTCCATGCCTGTTAATTCCTGCAATGTTATTAGATCCACCAGAAGAATGGGGAGAATGGTTGAAGTTATTGGAATTTGAAGGAGATGCTGGTCTTCTTGCAAATGTTGGTAATTTGACTGGTCTAGTACCTTTGCTAACAGATGTCTGGAACACAAGATGAAAAATAATTTGTTCTTTCTTGATTGAGAAAACTCAAGAGCAAACTTCAATTGCTATTTTATTTATCCCGAGTTCTGAAACTTGCACTGAAGAACAAGGGGTATATCAGAAAGAATCTTATTCTACATATAAATATATACTGAATATATACTTACATAAATATGTATATATATACTATATACATATATACTGAATACATTTATTCAATGAAATAAATGACACCACATTAAGCCATTAATTCTTCTTAATCTTTGGCCAACAAAAATGATCATATATGATGCACCTGAGATATGATATACACAGTATTATGAGCAGTGGGGAAGAAAAAAAATTATCACATATGATATTTCTTTCTGGCAGAATCCTGGCTTTGTCTCTCCCATCTTACAAAACAGCTACCACCTTCCCATCCATCATATCTTTGTTTCTTACAAACTGAGCTGCAAGAAGTGATATAAATTTTCTCTCCACCAGTTTCATTTCTATATCCTGCAATCTAAACAGCCAGCTGCACCACTTTATTGAGTTTTATTAAGTGAGGCACTACTGATCTAGCTATACACTATCCAAATCCTCAGCCACATTCCCCTTCATTTCTTTTGCTTTTACACCATTGGCCACTGTCAGCCACTTCACATATGAGCTTTTGCAGCTCAGCTTTTTAATGTTTCTTATTCTGTTTCTCAAAACACTTCTTCCATCTCCGACTAACTGTTTCCCTCCTTCCCATACCTTCAGCAAGACCCTTCTTTCCTCACAGAAGGACTGATGGCTAGTCCTCCCCTACTTTCCCTGCTCCTCACTTTATATACATGCTAATTATCCAGTTATGTTACTACAACCATCTTTTTTGGGGTGATAAACACATGCCTTCCTGTTATGTCACTTTCCTTATACTGCCTTACTCCACCTAAATCACCTCTACTGGTATTAAGCTAGTGTCCACATAAAAAAAGGAAAGAGGAAAAAAATTCCTCCTAAATGTCTTCACTGTCCCATGTCTAAAACTGACATTGAAACACAGTTCTGGACTGGTCTTCTCTACATCTAGTTATTACAGTCTACAGTTAGGGGAGTAAGCACTTCTCCTTTTTCTCCAACTATGAAAGAGAAGGCTGTCAAGGTTGTTTCATTTCCTATCTCAAGACAAACCACCTATTTTTCTCTTGGTTTGCATTTTCACTGAAAACACTGCAGAATCAGGCAAGCTCCTTCTATATAAAACCAGAAATAATCAAGATTTTTTCCAGTTTTACAGTACTTCCAATTTAAAGCTGAGTGCCTTCAAGCCCACTTGATCATTACTTGCTACAATTTTATCTATTGCTAATCTTTCAGAATATTATGTCTGTATATTGGTCTTACTGATATTTCTTCCCTCCTGCTCAGTTCCTAAAAATTGAGCAATTTTCAATCTTTTTTACTGTCCCTAGTCTTTTTTCAAATCAGAGCAGTTTCTACCACATTGTTGATGGTTCTTGTTAACAGACAAAAAAAAAAACCCAAAAAACTAAAAACAACCAAAAAAAACCAAAACCAAAACCACAACAAACAAACAAAGCAATCCCCAACAAAACAAATAACCACACAAAATCAATAACCCCTCAAAACCAAACGAAATTAAAAAAACCAATTCTGTATGTTGTTTCACTTCATACAGAACTTTTGTTTCATTATGTTCCTTCCATACTGATGTGCATTCTTCCTAAGCAGCACTGCTTAAATGGACAAGCCATTGCTGAAACAGTGGGTTAAAAGTATTTCTAATCAGAAACAGAGCGGCTCACCAGCCAACAGGGCCAGGGCATAACACAGTATTTTCATACACATTTAGTTTGCTTACTATATCAGAGTTCCCACTGCTGTTAAAATCGTGCTTGACTGCTCTCTGTGGCCAGGCAGTTCTCATCTGTTCAGCTTTGCCATCTTTGCTGAGTCTGGTTCGGTCAGAATTCCAAAGCTCAAAGCTTGAGGGTGGTAAGAAAGGTGGTATCACTGCTTTCAGCTTATCACTGGGCAGCCTGGTAAATGGAGCAGTACTCCTCAGCTGAGAGAGGGGAACAAAGAAAAGGTGGGGGGAAAGAGTCACTTCTTAACAAAGTTTACTGGGACCTGGTGATGTGTTTCAAAATACTAAGTTAAGCAAAAAGATGAAAACACATTTAAACAGAACAGAAATGAGACATAAATGTACTATTTGAGGAGAAGTACAATACATAACACCAAGAGAGAAAAACCAATGAACATTGTGGCACCCCCCAGTATTATGCTTATTCATTTGATGCAATGAATATAGCTCATTAAGTGACAGAAACTGTCTCTTTCTTTACTGAGCTAAATATTGCTCAAGTTGACTTTCACAAGAATAACAACCAATTTCCAAAGAAATAACAATGTAGTCCTCTCTGTACTCCCAGACAGGATGACTGGAAACAGCAACTGCATGTTCCTGCTGTATGTGTACTGCAGAAACAGATAAAAACACAACTGATTTTGCTCCCTGGAGTTCTGTCAGTCAGTCATATCAAAAGTTCTTACAAAAGAACTCAAACTTCTTACAAAAGAACATAAAGATAATAACCAGCCAAATTTACTGACATCACCAGGGAGTAAGCTGCAGAGGAATATAAAGCAACAACATAACAAAAGAAGAAATAAAATAACACAAATACACCTCCCAAACCAAGTATTTCATGCAGGGGAACATAAAGCTACAGCATAACAAAAAAATAGAATAACACAAATACACCTCCCAAACGAAATATTTCACAGTTGCCTCTACTAGTAATTTCACACTTTGTACCATGTTCTATCCATGTTTTCCTCACTTCATACTGCTTGTCAGCAACTAAGCAGCCGCTCCATCTGTTTTACTATTTCATTGCTGATCAAACAAAGGTATGGGTAACTCTTGAAAGAGGTCAGTACAGCTTCCATATCACATTACTTTTAGTACTTTCTAGTCTAAGAACTACTGGTATATCAAAGCCTATCAGTTCATGTCTAGTGACTATAAAAAAGCTCTTTTTCTAGAAGTGACTTGGACAGGAGGCAAAAGACTGTAAAACTTATGGGAGCCACATGACCCTCTGAATTAGACTGAAACACCAAGAACACTGCAACATACCATAGTTTTCAATAATTCATCGTCCTTTCCTCCTTTGACAGTGTTTGCACCTGAAAAATACACAAATTATTATTTATTGTTTACATGTTTCTACTTATGTTTCTAAGGCTAGCTCATTGTTTTTAAACAACCAACAGCTTTACCCTCAGTATGCACACAGTATGAGGATTTCCAGTGACACTCTCATACACCTCAGCTAAAGTTAAGTCATGTTTTACTTTGCATTGCAGACAGTGGGGGATTTTCAAGGAGAGCTGTACAATTTCAGTATATGTGCTTTACAAACTGGGCTTTTCCAATTTTCTTCTTTTCAGAATTATTTATTTATTTGCTTAAATAAATTGGTCTTCATTACATAAATTAGTTTATGGAAGATACCAATACTTTTCAGTGACCTGTCTTAATTTAATGGCATTTACTACAGAACAGTAACATGGTTATATTAGTATTTTCCTGCTTAAATGCTACTGCACTCAGCATGATCAACAATGAGTACAAACACCTCTCTTCCTACAGACTACAATTATGTTACATTTTTTCACTTATATTAAGCTAAAGCAGAACTAAACCAATAAATCAGACATAATATCATCCTGACCACCCCACAAGAGCTCATTTCCCACAAGACAACTCTGCCTTTACCACTAGCTTTATTATTTGTGTTCCAAGCTGTAGCAGCATCAAGGTTTCCAGAGATGTCTGTATCACCCTGTGAGGCTACTTTTATAGTGGAACTTAATGATGGTTCAGTCTCATCCGGAAAAGGCACAAACTGATTAGAAGGAAATCCATGGCGCAATGTCTGAGTCAACTTCAGCTTGCGGAACCGATTGGACATTCTGCTCCACCAGGACTAGATTGAAAAGAATACACAACAATTTAATTCCAACTAAAAGAAAAAAAAAAGATAAAAAGAGATGCATAATTAAGCAATCCTTACAGAAGCGATAATTTTACCAAGGACTTTTTGAAATAAGCTAAAAAGCAATATTAAAGTGGTTTGCAGTTACCAACAGAATCCTTCAGTGTAATTTGCATGTGTAATAATTAACTCTTCCATTATTTTTTACCTGGAAAATATTTTAAAATGTTTTTCCACAATATCTGGAAAGCCAAAGTAGATAGAAGTATTAGAGCAATTTGAATAGGGATTTTTTGCAGCTACATAGAAAATATTTATTTTTCCCATTCACTTCCAATTTCACCATTGATTTTTACTCTCTCTGGAATCAGTGAGTGGCATCACTATTTTCTTCTTTTTAGAGGTGTTTGTATGAGCTTATGCAATATGCATCAAAGCTTCTCGCCGAGATTTTCAAAACCAGTCGCAAACCAGAAGAATTCTGATAGCATTTCTGTCAAACTAAAGACCCACAATCCATACAGTGCTGCTATACAGATAATTTAACCAGACTGGGAAGACTATAAACTGAAAAAGAGCAAGGCAAGGAAATAGCAGCTGTGAAAACAACATAAACCTTAGAACTATGTACCTATAACCTCCATCCATACAGATACCACATATGCGGAAACTGTTATGCAAAAGGATTTTTCTCAAAATGAAGTTTATTCAAATATTCACAGACTTCCACATTTTTACAGGCAGACAGTGCAAGTTGCTTCAAGTTTTCAGCAAGATATTTCTCTGGACTATACAAAACCTATGCCATTTGCACCAAAAATTACGTAGCTTCTAGGTGAATCAGATTGTAAGTACCTTCTGATTGTTTTTTAGTAAAGTTTCTTCTTCTCTTTCTGGAAGACTTTTTTAAAAAAATAATGTTAAACTAACAACACTTCATCAGGGTAGCTTTAGGTGATAGCAAATTCAGGTAACAACCCCTTCTCACAATACATATTCTTCTCTCTTCTTGGCATTTAATATTTTTCAACTACTCACTGATATATGTCTTTGCAACTTTTTTATACTTATCCTCTACATATTAATACTTGTAGCAGAAGACCATGAAAAACATTTTAGATCTGCACAGAACATTAGTAATGTATAGAGTTCTCAGACCTCTGTATATCTTTACTGTCACAACTAATAAAGATTTCCATTACTTTCAGCAACAAAGATCTGATGAAAAAAGGCAAGTGAGACAAATAGCTTTGAGAAAGCAATAAAACCCACAGTTCAACATTTATTCACCTTCCAAAGGGAACTGGAAGTTCATCTAGTTTTAACATAACGAGCTTACAGAAGAGAGTGCTTGCACTTCTTGGTTTTGGTCACTGAAGCTACCTTGCTTTCTGTTAGAAAGATCACTTCTAACTGCCCATTATTTCTGTTACTCCTGCTCACAGTGCTTCTGCTCTCTGAATTCACACTCACACCACAAATTAACCCAAAATGGAGTAAATACATCCACAATGTTACCAGACAAAAACCACTGCTCTCTGGCAAGAAAGTAATGACAATGGAGAGGTTCATCTTGTCTACTGGTGTTCACAGTACGATGGTCTGATCTCTGGAGTTTTTAGTTTGCTGTTGTAGGAGTTTGCAGCCTCTCCATATACCCCTACCACATCACACATGTAATGAAGCTGTAAGGGCTTTAAATAGACTGAGGCATTCAAGTAAAAAAAAAAATCGTTTCTGGTTAAAAATAGCGTCTAAAAAAAGGCTGAAATCTAGCAGTAATGGAAGAAGGCAACAGTTTCAAAGAACTAGAAAAATGGTGTTGCCATTTCAGAAATACCTTAGACATTTGTAACAATGCTAGGAATAAAAGAGTAAGAGGGAGAACTGGAAATCTCTGCTGTCAAACAATTTCAATCTAAAGTAGAAACTGAATGTGGTAATTCACACTGCTCTAATACTGACAGTGAGAGTGTAAATGCCTGAAGAACAGGCAGGAAGAAAAAAAAAGATATAAATTTTTTGCATATGGAAAAGGGACAAGTTTGGTTTTGAGGCTGTTGGGAGGAAAGGGTTAAAATCAAACAGGAGAAGAGAAGGCTTCCTGCTCAGTGACCTTTCAGCTGGGAATGCTAAAAATGTAGGTGTGGAAAACTCCATTTATTAGCCTAGTGTGTTCATTGTCTGCCTGACTGGAGAAGCAGAATTCCCATGCAGAGGTAACACACTCAAAGCAACACCCAAAGCCTTCAGTTCTAGGATGAACTAACTAAACCCACTGGAGCCTGGGTCCCTGTGTGTCTCTGGCACCCAGCCTTGTTGTTGAGGTAACAAAGTAAATCTTCTCCTTACATTTCAGCTGTGGCTTGGTGGTTGCCTTGGTTACCCACTTGTGTTGATTCACACAGAGGCCATGAGAAATGGTAAGAAACAAAGCAGTTAACAGTTCTTGCGTGATAGACGTGAAGAATGAGATCATTAATACCCACTATGTTATCAGCAGGTAAAGGCACAGGGGCCAATATTGCGCACTAATTACAAATAAAAGAAACACATCACAAAATAAAAAGTCTACTAGTTAAAGACAAAAGTGATCAAAGAAGAGGTGAGACTGAAAAGCATTTATTTTCTTTAAACTTTATAAGCAGCCTACCTGTAATCAGGTGTTTTAGTATGAGTACCTTTAACAGGAGGAAGGCAGGAATATATGTGCATTTGCTTAACAGAGTATTTAAATGAGCTTACACAAATTAGAACCAGACAATATTGATTAAAATTACCCCAGGTTAATTATAGGCAACATGACCTCTGACTAAATATTGATTATCTTCACTAAAAAGTATGGAAGAAGTTACAGAAATCAGGCAAAAGGCAAATTACATACAATTACTGAAAAGGAAAAACTGACTGATTAAAATGCTTACCATGAAAAGGCATAACTGAAAAAACTTCACATGTCATCACAGCTCCTAAGTCACAGCCAGCATAGATTTGTTGAAAATAAACTCTACCAAATGAATCTCCTTTTGACAGAGTAACCAGTCAAGTGAGCAGAAGGGAGGAAAAGCTGGAATGCAGCTTGACTTTATTAAAGCTTTTATTGCTATTTCATGTAGCATTCATCAAACACTTGAGAAAAATATGGTTCAAGTAAAAATAATAAAGGGAAAAGACCAGAGCCAAAAAATGAGACAAATTGAGAATTATTTGATCTCAAACTGGGAGAAAATTTGTGCAATAGGTTTGGGAATGTTCACTAAAAACTGCAACAATGAAACACAACATATTTTTCTGCAGTCTATGGAAGACAACCATCTAGACAGTTTTGTAAGCACCTTTAATGCTCTAAATTTAAACACTGCCAAATTGACATTTTTCAGTAGAGGTCAAGCTGGCATGACAGAAGAAATCAAGTGTATTAATGAAGGGAAAAAAAGCAAGGAACAAAGCAGGTGTACTAAAGAAAAAAAAATCAGTCACAACACAGCAGAAACTAAGTATAGATGCACAGTGTTACTGCTGCAAAAAAAAAAAGTGAATTTCACTGGTAACAGAAAACACATCTGTGATGTAGTTTTTGTAGGCCACTAAGGGGTAATGTGACCTTGGTCAGAATCTCATCACTCATTTTAGAACCCTCATCTTGACAGATAACATACAAACTAGAAACAGTCTAAAGTTTAGGAATCAAAACACACAAACAAGGAAATTTGTGTTAAGCAATTTTGTTTAGACTAGAAAAAAAAAGACTGAATATTATAGTTCTCTAAGTATTTATACAATTCTCATAAAAATGAAGGTGACCACTGAACAAGACGCAATCAATTTAATGGGCAACAAAAGAAAAAAATTCAGAGTGAAAAAAATTCTGACCCAAAAAGGTATCAAGCAGTGGAATTGGGTGCTGATGGAGAAACCATGGGATATGGAAATCTTGTTCACCACAGTGAAAGAAGAGCAAACTGAACATCTGTCAAAGATGTTATTGGCGTGTTTATTCTGTCTCCTGATGCTAAGGCAAGTAAGCCTCACGAATTCCCTCTCATTCTCATATTTCCATGATCCTGTAGACCCCACACTCAGTCATTTGCACTGATCTAGACAAAAAATGCTGTATTGGCCGTTGCCATAAGTATCTTTTGTCTACAGCTCCAGCTCATCACTGAGCAGCTGTCCACATGGAAACACTGCTGCTACAAATTCCAGGAGAGGTCCACTCACCACAGCCCTCTCTTCATATGCTGGCCCAAAGAGACATGATTGTTATGACATTGCCCTCCAGCCAGAAAATCTGAAAATATCATTTTTACCCTTTTTGAATATTTGTAAGAAGAGTAAGACATGTAAGATACTAATGGTCAGACAGGCTGATTAGTAGAGCATTAAGAAGTGATGGAAGAACGGATTACATAAGCTTACAGGTTGTATTTTTTTTAGAACTATACAGAATACAAATTTTGCTGCAAAAAAAAGTTTGATTATGACTTGTAACTATGGCAATATTCTGTAGTTTTGAGGCCAAATATTTAAATATTCCAGAATATTACATTCGTGTCAATAATTGTGTCTATATCCTTATCACTGGCAAATAGTTGGGGTTTTTGTCACCTCACAATCTTTTATGACCCTAATTCAAGGCTTTGAGTCATAACACTGCAAGGGTTGCAATCCAATCCATTGTTGATGGGTATTCCATAAAGCCAAAAGCTATTCTGACAATTTCCCATCTAACTCAAATAGCTCAGTCTAAATTGATAATGAAGTTGTGTCATATTGAATGACAGCATAATCATATGAAAACAACCACATGTTCCTTCTTAATTAAAACTGCAAAACAGATTTGAGCTGAAGCAGTAGCATAATCATATGAAAACAACATGTTCCTTCTTAATTAAAACTGCAAAACAGATTTGAGCTGAAGCAGAACTTTAAATGGTCTTTAAAATTCATGTCAAAAATAGCCTGGAAATTAACATGACTTTTTTCAAGATCCTGGTAATATTTATACTTAAGGGACGACATCACAGACTCCAGGAAATTCTGAGGTACACCACACATACACCATAATGAAAGATTATTCACTAAATAAACTGATGCCCGGAAAAAGGCAACAACAATGGCAACTACAACAAAACTAACTCTTCTTCCTTCTCTTTTGCAGTCAATGAAAGTTGAAGTATCTTTGTTTAGCTGGGATACACTTATTCTAACTCCATGTTGTTTCCTATTGGAACACCACCATTTTTGAGTTAAGGATACAGCATGCCAGATGACATGTAAGCCCAAAGTACACGCTCCTCCACAACTCTTCATATTAAAATCTCTGCTATGATCTTTTTAGTTTTCAATGTCAATAGCCTGTTACCATTTATGGTTATGAAGGAGTCTACCCTCTGTCCAGATTTAAAAGCAAGATCATAATGGAAATTGAGTTCCAAACTTATGAACATGGTACCCTCCACTTAATCATGAGATCTATTTCTAGGCACTGAAATGCTTCAATGCAAACTCTTCCCACTGCCTCGCCACCTGATGAAAAGGAAGTTGAATATGTGCTATGCTCCACAAAACCAGAACACTGTCAACAAGGAATTTAGAAACACACACAACTCCCCAACAAACCCAGTTACATATCAGATCCAAAACCCTTCTTAGCAATTGTTTTTTCTGTTTATACATTACAGGAATTAATGAGTTTTTATCAAGAATGAATACATTTACCTTTAGGCCTCCTTTGTCATCTGGCAACATTGGGACATTTAAGGATTGCCTACTTCTGGAACAAGGCAGAGATGATCTGTTGTTCAGTTTATTCTTGTCTTTATCTACTTGCATGCATGCTGATGCCAGTAGCCTTACAAGCTCTGTATCTAAAAGGAATCAAATTAAGACAATGTTTGGCCTGTTTTGCTTTCCCAAATTAAAACCGATCCACTGACATTTTCCCTGTAAATCACATACGAGTAGCAATTGATGTACCTCTCAAACACAAAGCAGATGAACCCCCAAACCTTTCTTTCTTGATCTATTTTCCCATGTCTTCTCCCCACAATTTGGGCTGCAGTCTTATAATCTCTCTAAAGGTATGTAAATAAGCATACTACTCAGCTGGAATCAGTCATGTGTGACCAAGTGAACTGCCCTCTCTCATACTTTTTACAAGTTAAGAACAATATTGAGATGCTCCCTTTTCTCACCTGGCACAGTAGAGAGTAGAGAAAAATGAATATTCTTTCTTCAAGCGTAGGTTGCAGAAAAGAAGTTCGAAAGTAAATCCCAAAGAGAAAGAAGATGTTCAGCCTGGACAATGAAGGGACTGAAAAGAAATGGTAAGAAAAAAAAGATGGACAAAAAAGAAGTAAGAAATAAAGTAAGACAGTAAGAGGATGAAAAAAGAACAAGCATGACAGGAGACAGGAAAGCAAAAAAAAAAAATTCTGTAAATCTGCTTTTTGTACAGAAGTCAGGTAGGATTTTCAGAAAGGCATAGAAAACTGAACAAGAGAAAGAAGTAGCAAGACAAACTATTCTGTCACAGAAGTTAGTTCTAAAATAATTCTCTGTATTTATTGTCTAAAATGTTGTACTATTAATGATCTACTTTTGACACAGAAAACAATCTAGTAACCAAGACCACCATAATGTGTAAATTCAGAGACTTCATTAGCAGTAATGGGTTTTGGCTTCAGATAAATCAGTTCAGGTACCAAGGAAGGTTAACAATAACAAATTATAGATGTAAAACAAATTGTAACAAAAACTAAATGTCTTTCATTCAAGCCTCCCCAAAGCATGCTGTCTTGTCCTACAGCACTCCCACACAAACAACTTGAACCCTGAGGTGTGATTTATTCTCAGCCTTTACAGAACTAGCTGGAGGTTCAGCCAGGAGTTCCCTAGTTCTGTTCCTACTGGACCAGAACTCTCTTTTTCCTGTCCCTTTGCTGCTCTTTGTCAAGGGGCAATTTCTAGCTCCAGCTCACAGCTCTGAACTAATGACACTACAGAATACCAGTGCCTCCATGATCAACTGCCACTCATCTGGCTCTGGTGACACACAAGCACAGTTTTCAAGCATCTTCAGAACCAAAGGCAAGAGGAATGCACAAAATCTGTTATCCCATAAACTTATACATTCATCTAACCAATTAACTTAAACCCCACCACTTTCAGACAGGGTCCTTTTTTGGTCCATTCCAGCCTAGACATGAGAGGATATATCCCAGCAACTGCAATGTATTTTCTAGATTGGAAGGAAAGTATGTTTGTTTAGATTGTACATTTCTCCACAGCATTTTGAAATAGCATACCTGGATCATTCAGCAGCATTATCAGGTCAAAAGCTGTGTATCCATTTTTTGCACGAAGGTTAACATCAGCTCCTTGATTTAACAAATACTTTACAACATTTTTGTTTCTTTAAGGGAGAAAAAAAGGCATTGATCATATTAAAGAACAAGCAAATGAAGAAAGAAGCTCCCAATACTCCATTTGAAACCTTTTATAACATTGTTCCTGAATCAGAGATCAGTTTTACGCATTCTACAGATAACAGTGTAAAATTTGTTCACAAGCTCTTCAAGGGCTCCCACAAGTCCTCTGTCAGTTACATTTACTCAGTATGACTCACATTAATCAATATGCACAAAGTTTGCCTTAAAAGCCCCCTTTGAATAGTCAGCTTCCTAACCTGATCCTTTGGAAGTGACTGCAATATGTTGCTAAACACCCTTCCAATGAAAGCCATTAATGCCTAGGGCAGAAAAGCAGATGGAACGACAAAGGACATTTCAGTAGTCATCATATGCCATCACTAATACTTCAATGCAACCTCATTTGCACAACTTGCACATTAAGAAATGGCACACAGAAAAGCCAAACTGACTGAAGATAACTTATAAACTTCAAACAGTACTTCACCTAATTACATCTATAAATTTTTTAATTGAGAAGGCACATTATCACTTCCCTGAGGTGTTTAAAATGCAAAAACAATCAGAATTAAATGTCAACCAACACAAACACCTCCAACAAAAGCTCCTCAAAGCTAGCTGCATAAAAGACATTCACCATCCTGTCCCAGTTAGCCCCTCTCCCCTCTGATACACCTGAGTAAATAAGCAGGACAAGCCTTGTGAGTTAAAAACAATACTTCAATTCAGCCTATGAAATAACTGAACAGACGACAAAGCTAGGGAAAATATACTTAATATCAAAACTCCTTAACAGTGACTGACCTTGTATTAAATCAAACTCTGATATGCATCAGCAACACAGAGAAAAAACATTCTCAAGCACCAACAGGTAACTGCAAATTCTAACAATGAAGCTGAAAAATGGATCTCAACATGTCCACTTCAGAGCATCATTTCTTATTCAGATGATATTTCCACTCCTAAACTCACTCCACACAAAATCAACCTGAAACGGAGGATGATTGTTACTCCTCTCTTCTAACAAAAATTCTGCTTATCCTCACCACAGCTCCTCTGCATATTTCCTATTACTTTCCTACTCTTCTTTAAAATTATCATCCCTCCATTCTGCTTTCACAGAGACACAACTTTTTAGTGCCTCTGGTTCAGAGAGACCTTGCCTGCTCCCTCCTTCAAGCCCGAGACCCTTCACACTATTGGTGGTCCTGAGGAAGGGTTAGCTGAGGTTCTGCGGAGCCCAAAGACTTCCAGATGTTATGAAAATTTGCAACTCTCCATGCTAAGAAAAAGGCTCAGATGCTAAGTATAGAATTACAAGGATAAGTATTTATGCACATGAGGTATTCCACACACACTGGGGCACTGCGAATGTGGCTTTACACACAAGGCTCTTGTATATTTCAAGTATATTTCAAGTACTACCTCCACTTGTACTGTGATTGCTCATCATAGTAAAACTTAGCACAGCCACCGTACTTCTGCAGCATTCATGCTGCTCTTCTATTGATCCAGATGTCCCTGGAGTCACTCTTGCTGTCATTACTTACCTATGACACCACACAACACTGAGAGGGTTTCATAGATGGCTGTGATGTTGGGATTGTCTTGGGTGACTAGGGACATATTTTATTCTTCATGGATAACTCTTAAGTTCCTAAGAAGCCACACCCTTGTTTCCAGGACTGGGATGTCCTTCTGGTCTTTTCAATGAGACAGTGTCCTTTAGACAGCTTTACTTAAGCATGAACAATACCAAACACTCCCAAAATTCCACTGCCTCAAATGTTAAGCATATCAACAAAATTAACTTACAAAGTTTCACACTATGAAGACTGACTGATATATTACAGAAAAGACTTTTCATAATCCCATCCTCCAATAAACTGAACAGCCAGTATCTGAACACATGCAGGACTCACTTTTGTATGTGCCTTCACAAACAAGTATCTGAGTACCAGCAAGGGGACATTCCAGCAGCCCTATCCATCACTTTGTGCTGGCTGCTCCTATTCCAGCTGTGTACTGTGTGACTGATGCTAAGTTAAACAGCTGCACCAGAAAATCTGGTCTTAGTGCACTTCTGTCACTACGATCAATAAAGGTCCCAAGAACTACTTCAGAAAAGTTTCACAAGGCAATGACTACTTGACCTCCTATTTTTCCTCTTTGTTGCACTTATATAGTCCAAGGAGATCTGCTGACTAAAAACAAAATGTGGTGCAGAATACCTGCATTTATACAATTAATGCACTACCACTGAAGAGAACCTTCCCCTTGCTGAGGGCCTTATCTACAACCAAGAAAAGTTCAACTCCCTGAACTGAATATCCTGTATTCAAACAATGTTAAGTATATGATAGACATCACATGTGAAGTACCAGCCAGGGCAATTTCTGAGGTCTGACTCCTAAGCAGCCACTTAGATTTAGGAAGGAGCTTTATAGAAAATGACAATTATTTTAGTTGCATTTCCAAAAACTCGAGAAAAACTAAAGGCTGAACAGGAGAACACAGAAATGGTTTTACGACTGGAAAATGTGGTACATGGAAGGCTGATTGCCTTGAAGTTTCACAACTTCCTGTACACTTACAACCCTGGCAGGAGGGGTGATAGAATCTTTCATAATACTGAAAAACATCATAGGGTGTAAGCTGAAGTCTGCACCAAGGCTACTGAGGACCTGCTGGAGCACTATATTCCCAGTACTTAACTGAGCTTCCTTCAGGTTCCCAAATGCTTTACTCATTCTAAAAATCCAAACGTCACAGAATCACAGAATAACCTGAGTTAGAAGGGACTGTTGAATCCAAGACTGTTGAATCCCCGCAGAGCACCATCCCCAAGAGTCACACCATGTCTCTGAGTGCTTTGTTCTGACACTCCTTGAACTGTCAGGCCTGGTGCTGTGACCACTTCCCTGGGGAGCCCTTTCCAGTGCCCAACCATTCTCTCAACAAAGAACCTTTTTCTAACATCCAACCTAAACCTCGCCTTGACACTTCTAGCCATTCCCTCGGGTCCTGTCACTGATCCCCACAGAGAAGATGTCAGTGCCTGTCCCTCCTCTTCCCCTCATGAGGAAGTTGTAGACTGCAATGAGTTCTCCTCTCAGACTCCTCTCTTCCAGGCTGAACACACCAAGTGACCCCAGCCACTCCTCACACAGCTTCCCCTCAAGGCCCTCCACCATCTGTGTTGCCCTCCTTTGGACATTCTCTAATAGTTTAATGTCTTTCTCGTACTGTGGTGATCAAAACATGATTCAGATCTGCTCCAAAAAGCTGAGGATAGTGCAAGAGTCATGAAAAACTACGGTCATGAGTCTCTTAATTTCTTTTAAGACCTCTCTGCTTCTAGAGTCATTATCAAAAAGGATTTTTTTCTACTGGGATGTAAGAAAAATTAACCTTCTTTACTGCTAGACACAAAGAGAGCATATATCTTACCCATGGTACGTGGCCTGCATTAGTGCTGTCCAGCCATGAACATTATCCTGCTTATCAATATCAGCCTTTTTCTCAACAAGGAGCTGAACAAGGGGCAGCTGTCCAGTTACAGCCGCAATCATTAAAGGAGAGGCACCGTCAACATTGGTAATATTAACCTGACTCAGATCTTCATCAATAATCTCTTTAACCAGCTGAAAGTTTCCTGCAAAACAGTGATAAAATATAACCTAAATGTTAGTTAATTAGTACACCTTTCCAGCTGACATAAAATTGCATGAGGCACTGTATTTTCTTCATTTTCTCTACCTGTACATTTATGGTGCAATCCCATTACAATAATTATTTTCTGAAATGAATGACTAAGGAAGGCTGTATAAACTGCAGTGCATCCTGCATGTGAAGACACAAATAGGCAGTATTTCTATTAAATTGCCATAAGATGATGTCCTGCAAGGAAAATTGATGATGCTCAGGCACCATGATTTTTTCTTCAAAATTCCTGTTCCATTTCCACAGGCTGCAATTACAGAATCAACAATTTTTGAATCAAAGTAGGTGGGTACAAAGGCACTCTTAAACGTAGTGGAGGTCATTCCTTGACTAAAACAGGTAGAATAACGCCCTGTCTCACACTGACCAGTAAGTTCCTCTTACAAAGATAGTTTACTGATTCTAAACACGTTTACTGATAGAATTCCATAACCTCAAAGGAGTTTATTCCAGGGCTCAACTTTCTTATATTCAGAATGTTTTTTTTTCTGCCTCCAGTATTCAAACTACGCCTCCAATACAAAACTTCCCTACTCCTTTTTCAAGAGTGAAGTCATTTGTTGTCATTAGTCATCTTTACAGTTCTTTAAAAGTTAATCTAATTTTCAGGTTTCCACATAAAGGAGCTGGTAGTCACTTGAGTTCTTGTCTATATTACAAAAAGCAGCATGAAATATGTTACTGAACATATCTGAACAAGGCTGTGGGTTTTTTCTAAATCTTGAAGTAGGACTGCTTTTAAAAATTGTATGAGGTAGTCAGGATTGCCTTAAACAGAGAGCTTAAGCTCACCTATGGCTGTGTTTTTTTGATGCCCTATGGCAGGAAAAAGCAGGGAAGAAGAAAAAAGCAAAAAAAAGATCTCTGTGACTGTGTGTACCACCACAGGAACAGGGGCAAGAACAAGCAAATCATCAACTGCCATGCAAACGGAAAAATTGTCACCTTTAAAAAACCCTTCAGATGGTAAACTGCTTCATAGCATAGGCTGCTTTCAACTCAGTCACAGGCAGGAACATTTTCCTTGGACAGTCGGTCAGAATTCCAGAAAAACCCTGCAGCCACTTGAATGCACTCACTGAAACTCACACCCACCAATGCCACTCAGCTAATTTCTTGGAACAGGAGTAACAGAAAAGCACATAACTACTTTTTGTATGTTCCAATTTGGTAAAAGACTGCAGTTGGCTTTTTTTAACACAGACCCAGAGCACAGACTTTGTTAAACAGAAACCGTGGAACCTACAGAGACACCAGAATTTACTTTGAACCCTGGACACTCCTTTACCTAACGAGTTGGTTTTTTAACAGTGCTGCCATCCATAGCCAAATAAAAAAAGCCAAAACCCAATGTGCTGACCAGTATTCATTTGACCTCTCCTATGATACTTCTTCTGACCCGGCACTAACATCTCAAAATCTCAAAAAACACAGGGGTAGAAGAAGGGCACACAATTACTCTAAAAATCCAACAGACTTGAGGTTTTCCCAGGAAGATGTTTTGATAGCTCACATGTGAAGAGCAGGAACAGAAAAATCATGTTTCCCATGCTAGCAAACGCATGAAAAAGCATGAAGTTAGAAAAACTAGACAGGGTGGAAGAATCATGGCAGTACTTACCCAGTTTCAAAGCATGGAAGACATCAGGTTGCCTCTTTTCTGCATCTGAAAGAAATATAAACATTTCTATTAGCAATCAAAAAAAAACAAAAGCCAAAATCTCTAGTAAAATTTTTATACAAAAACTATTAAAAATATAAAGTACAATAAAACATATGTTTAGGCATACATTTAATAAGAACAAAGAAAGTATTGACAACTTCTGTATTACCTTTGGGAAGAATGAATCATCTGTATATTTCTCTGAGCAGAGCTAAAGCTAGAAATTATAATAAGGCACTAGAACAGGCTTTTCAATTGCCATTCTCCATCAGGAAATTGTATTTGGAAACTCTTTTTTTCCTGCCTGGAAGTCTAAAATATCCACTAAAGAATTACAGTATGGTTCTGTGGTCTGGTGAAATCCCCTGTACAACAGTGAACACTCTAATTGTATGGGATTATTTTGAAAGGTGACTCAAAAGGAGTTTTACAAGCTGCTCCAGTTTTATTTCCTCTTGAGTATTTCCAGGTTAATTTGGAAAGGTCACAAAAATAATAGTGTCAATTTAACTACGCAGCTTGTTACTTGTGAATTAATATTCTTCAGCTCCCAGATAATCATCCCCATAACAAGAACTGCAATTATTACAAATGGTAATATTTTGAGCGCAGAATCATTTTTTTTACATGGCTTAACAGTGCTTTGAAAATTCTGACACTATATAAGATGAGGAAAAAATAGTGACATATCTTTCACCTTCCAGTCATGCCAGAAAATACCGTCCTCTATCTTCCAATTATTACAGACAAATTATTCCTACAGAATCAATGAGGTAACAAAAGTAATGGAAAACAAGGAGACACTGAGCGATTTCGTGAGCCAAATTCTGACATTTTTATGAAATACAGAAAAGGTTTATGTTCACAGCTTTACTCCAAAGGAAGTCAGCTTAATATGCTGAACAAAAGCAATTGCTGTAAAGCCCAAAAAACTCCAACAAACTCTTATTTTAAGACCAGGAAAGAGAGTGATGGGTCCTACATTTTCTTCTGATTCAGAAACTGCTCTTATAGAAGGAACTGTGTGTATGAGCTCACCACTGTAAAACAGATTTCAAAGACTAGTTTAGTAAAGTACCAGGCTCCATTTGTCATGTGAAAACCCTGGAGGAGAGGCAGCTTCAGGGAGCAGGAGACCATGAGAAGATGCCAGAAAGAAAGACTGTGATCTGGGTAAGCCTAAGTAATGACAGGGACAGAAGGCAGGTAACATTCAAGCCATTCCAGATAGTGAATTTGCTACTGAGAACAGCTGTGGGAAGAGAGCTGCTTTCTCCTAGGAGGCAATTCACCCTATCTATGGCAATGGATTAGAAGAAAAGTTCCTTTTCCTGGTCTTCCATACGACAGAAATTATCTTTCTTCTTTACAGGATATTCAAGACTCCAGCACTAGCAGGAGACTTGAAGTATGGTCAAAAACCAATGCAAAAATTTGTGTGCAAGAACAATGTTTTTACTCCCCTCTATGCCCAAATGAATTACTACCCACCTTATGACGGAAATTTCCCCTCAGCAGAGGTGACAAACATCAATCTGCTTTAAAGCAAGTCCACTTAAACAGAATCCTTCAATACTTCAAGTTGAGGCCAACTCTGCCTGACTTACATCCTATTCTGCAAACACATGGACACTAGTGAATTCCATGGATCTCTGATTCTGTGTACTGTAAGCAACTTATGTCTGTTGCTCAAGGTCATGAGCAAACATCTACAATGAATCAGTCCTGCATGGCAGTATGGCTGTGTGAAAGCTCTGGAGTTCCAACTTAACCTGTAAGTCAAAATCTGAGTTCACACCTTCTCTACAGCAGAAACAGATGTCTGATTTTTGTTCTTACTTCTTCAAGTACAAGGGAAGCTTGACCTGCAGGAATGACACCAAATGCAGACAACAGTTTTGGACATGTCCATAAGGCAGTGGAAAATGATCTTTCTAGAGCTAGCCACATTCTTGTGTTTTATAGCAAACAGTACAAAGCTGGAAAATCCAGCTCTTCCAAACCCTTTTGTTAAGCACCTCCCAGTGCTGGCTTGCATAAATATCTTGAAAAGTGTCCCCAAAATAACCACATACAGACAGGAATCTTATCCTGCTAACATTGAAAAAATTTGCTGAAGTTGGGCACACGTACCTCAGCTGAAGTGTGCCTACTCCAACATTTTCAAAATACAGCTGCAAATTACAAAGAACATCATGGCCAAAATAAGCTCCTCAATTTCTAAAGTGAAACAAAAAAATAAATTCCATACCTGCCTGAGGCCTAATCGTTGTGAGAGATTCCAAATAGTCCTTCATGTCTTTGTGTTTGAAGCCAACAGAGATTTCAAAAGGTGTTTTATGTAGTACATTCAAGTGATCAGGATTGGCACCCTTCTCCATGAGCTGCTGTGCCAAGCTCACCTTTCCACTAATGGCTGCCAGCATTAAAGGACTCCAGCCCATTGTCTTTAGACTGTAGTTACAATCAGCTCCCCAGTCTAGCAACAGACGTACCACGGCCTCATGTCCATGCTGAGCAGCTGCCATCAGTGGAGTGATATCAGGAAGGTCATCTCTGCTGCTGTTAAGTACATTTGTGCTAAAGTGGTCATAATTGTCCACAAAAGCACCAGATTCCAGCAACAATTTCACCATGCTCACATGACCACCTCTGGAGGCCATTGTGAGAACACTGGCTCCTAACTTGTTCTGTGCATTGAGATCAGCACCATTTTCCAGCAAGATGTGGGCCACGCTTAGATGTCCAAACCTTGGAAGAAAGAGACACAAGAGAGAATTAACACCTTGGATTGTAAAAACCAACATACTCTGAACCTAGAAAACTTCATTACCAAATTTGCCAATTGACTAATACATACTCTATGAGGGATCATATAAACACCTCTGAATGTGACAATGGGCACTTTGCTGGAGGACACCAGTCATCAGCTGAGGACTGTAAACCAAACCATTCCACACGCACCAGTGACCATGTTCATAAAGCAGGCATCTATTGAAGAGGGTGGTCTGCTCTAAGCAGCAAAGTGCCACCTTCCTTTTCTGCTGCACGGCCCCAACTCATAACTTCCATAAACCAGAGTGTCAGTTTCATCCTCTTTTTCCACAATTGTATCACATTAACAGATCAAAGCAAGTTTATTTCCAGAGATCTTTATTAAGTACCATCATTACTATTGAACAACTGGAGTAAAAACTGCAGTCAGTGCTAACTGAGGAAGAAAAAGACCATTTTATCAACTGGAGAGTCAGTCTTTTATATTTGCATTACTGCTTGTTTTCCAGTTGTGAACCATCAATGAACTCCCACAATGGAAGAAGACTTAGTGAATACAGATGCGTCCATGAAGCTCAGAGAAGAACACGGTGAGTGGCCATCACTGTTGCAAAGTTAGCTGAACTTCCCTCAACACCAAGGGGACCAGAGAGGATCTTTAAGAGAAATGGCTTGCCAGCAGAGTGGGACAACTGGCCATGAGAATGGCTTTCCCTAAAACAATCAATGGAAATTATTCTGTTCCTCAGGCAGAGACCAACATGGGGGACGCATCAACACAGTTCAGCCCAACACCAAGCACCAAAATGGAATGAAAATAAATTTTAAAAAGTTAAGGTGCTTGAGTTGGCTTCCAGCCAGGTATTCCTTCCTGATAATTGGAGATACCCAGTGCATAAGTTGACAAAAGCAGGCAGTCACAAACTCACTCAGTTAGAACACAAAGAGTAAATTTATTTGTTATCTCATGAACCTGAGGATCCCCAAAGCAACACACAGACACAAAGGCAGAGATACAGATGGGGAGAAGCAGGTACCATTACCAGTTCATGCTAAAGGACCAATGGCCTGAAGTTCACACAAGACTTATCAAGAATTATTCCTGGCTGCAAGGTTACTTGAGTGATTTACAATCCTCCTCAATAGTCTTGAGGTGTTTAACCCATTCCTTCCAACACCCAACACTGTGATGATGAGCATACAGGGACTGCTAATGGGTGTACCATAGTGTCTTGTGATTCGACTGTCTGTTCCAGTTGCTATGTCAAGCTTCTGCCATGATTTCAAGAGAATGCTGTATTACAAGGCTAAATTAAAACGCTGTGTAATATTAAGTAGCTTCCAATAAAGAAATATGGCACCAAACCCTCCTTGTGTGGAATATCTACAAGAACTTGGTCAGAGTACTGAACTCTGTCTGAACTCTGACAGCAGTTTTACCAGCAACCTAGTTTGATATCACTTGACTATCAGAAGCTCTGCTAGTTTGTCAGTAAGCAAAAGGCAATCAGGCAAGCCACACACCCAACCAGCCAGTTATCAGTGAGAAAATGGCAACCCCATATTTTAATAAATATAATACCCTGACAAGATGTGTGTCATGCTCTTGTTGCAGGCATCATGCACTACTGCATACTTATGCACGTTGTGCTTAGCATGACCCAACTTTGACCCTGAAGGCACCTTCTGTAAATTACAACAAAGCAAACCTTAGTCGAGGAAACCCCAGAGAATGCCACTAACCACTTAAAAGCAACCACGAGCCCCAAAGCCCTTTGTTTCCTTCCAGAAAGTATATAGTTGCAGGAGGAAGCCTCTGGAGCTTGTACACTCCCTAGGTGTGTCCTGTGCCCCTCACTGCATCACCTCAGTGGAGCCTGCAACCAGTGCACACAGTTAATTTTATGCATATATGCTACCTCCTGTCCAACTGCAATAGAACTAATCACAGCCAGAAAATTAAACAGCTACCTAAGTCTGAAGCCTACCTTTGGACAAACACTGGGCTTCCTTTCTGGTTATCCATTAAAAAGAAAAGAGAAAAATGCTCCTCTACTTTACACTTTTCAACAATATATGCAGTACTTTTCAAATGTCAGCTAGTAATTTCTTGAAATCAGTGCGAGGGTTTTAGTCATCTGACTTCATTGTTTTTCGGGAATAAGCGTATGGTTTTCATTAAGGGGGAAAAAAAATCTGTTTCTGCAACTTTTTTCCTTTTTTTTAAACCTTCATAAAATAACCAAATTGTTGAACCTTGTCTTCCTTGTTCTTACTGGGAAACCAGCTGTGTGACTCATTCTTTGGGAACTTTCTATGGCCATTAATTGAAAAGAGAAACGTTAACTTTGAAACAGATTATTTTTTTCCAAGTATTTCAAAGTTATGAAATTTACAAAAAAAAAAAAAAAAACCAAAACAACCAACCAACAAAAAAACCAAACAAATACAAACAAACAAAAACTCCACCCCCCACAAAACCCCAGAAAAACAAAAAACCATTTATTTTCTTGATTAAGCATTCAGCTATTATAGCACAACAATGCCCTTCAACCCTGCAAAACACGCCTGTGAGCCCAAGGTGTGCTTGTAGGAATAAAGACAAGCACCAACACCAGCATTAGCAACACAGAACAACCCACGGCCCAGCAGTGGGTTAGGCAGAGGACAGCATCACCGATGCAGAAAACAACTGATTTGTCATTAAAAACCCTCAGCAATGATTTTCCCTATCCTCCAGCAAGGCAAACATGGGTAAGCCAAGGGAAATTGTTTCAGCTCGCTTCAGTATGTTTTACATCAGACGCAGTTTTCAACAAGTAAGAAAGACACATACAGACAGACAAAAAAAAAAAAACAAAAAAAAAAACCACCCAAAACCAAAAAACCCCCTATTATAGCACAACAATGCCCTTCAACCCTGCAAAACACGCCTGTGAGCCCAAGGTGTGCTTGTAGGAATAAAGACAAGCACCAACACCAGCATTAGCAACACAGAACAACCCACGGCCCAGCAGTGGGTTAGGCAGAGGACAGCATCACCGATGCAGAAAACAACTGATTTGTCATTAAAAACCCTCAGCAATGATTTTCCCTATCCTCCAGCAAGGCAAACATGGGTAAGCCAAGGGAAATTGTTTCAGCTCGCTTCAGTATGTTTTACATCAGACGCAGTTTTCAACAAGTAAGAAAGCCACATACAGACAGACAAAAAAAACAAAAAAAAAAAAACAAAACAACCCATGCAAAATTAAGTAAGGCTACCTATTGTCACAGAGGAGAGCAGTGTTTCGTGTTCAAGGTAGCTCCAGTTTTTGCACTGGCTTAACCAAGGAATAACATGCACTGCTTCAAACACCATATTCTTAACATGAAAAGTTTCTAATGCCCCAGGATAACACCGGCCAATTCTACACCGGTGGACAGCCCCTCCTCACCCCAGCCCAGGGACGGGAACAGGTGACCATTCCGATCCCCCCGGCACAACTCCGGGCTCCACCGGCGACAACCCACCGCGGCCTTCAACATGGCGCCCGCCCTCTCTCTCTCCCACGCTGACCGCCCGGAGCTCCCCGGCGCCCTCCCTCGGCCCGGGGACCGCGGTTCTGAGAGCGAGGGAGCCGAGCGCCCGCGGCAACCCGAGGGCGGGGAAGGCAGAGCCCCGGCGGCCCTCCCTTCCTTCCCCGCCCCGGGGCTGCCGCCGACTAGGCCGACGCTCCGATGGCGGTCGGAGACCGTCACCTCGACCCTGATCCCTCCCTTCCTCTCCCCCGTACCTGGCCGCTTGCATGAGGGGGCTCCATCCGTAGTGGTTCCTGCTCTGCACCGAGGCGCCCTTCCGCAGCAGGAACCGCACCAGCTGCTCGTGGCCCCCCGCCGCGGCGAACTGCAGCCCCGTGTTGCCGGCCTCGTCCGTGCAGTCCACGGGCACGGCGGGGGTCGGCGGGGACGACGCTTCGCCGCGGGGCTCCGCTGCCGTCTCCTCGGGGCCGCACGAGGAGGAGGAGGGAGCCGCCGTGTCGGGGGGGCCGCCGCTGCTGCCGGGCAGCCCCAAGAGGCGTCGGGCGGTCTCGCAGTCGCCCTGCTCGCAGGCGCGGAGGAAGAGCTGGACCTGGGGGGGCACCCCGCACTCCCCCATGGGCAACGCTGCCGGGCCCCGAGCGGCTCGGCCGCCCGCGACCGCCGCCGCCGGGAAGGCAGCGGGGAGGAGGGGACTCGGCCGGCAGGAGGAGGCCGGCCCAGGGCGGCCGCAGCGCCCCGGCCGCCGTCGCATAGCGTGAAGGGGGAGCCGGGCTGCGCCGCGCTCCTCGGAGCCGGCGAGGGTTATCCCAGCCTGGGCCGGGGGTCTCGGGGCCTCTCCTGCCCCGCTGGCAGCCCCAGTGGTGTCCTCCCGCCTCGTCCAGCCAGCCCCTGTGTCCTCACGGCTCCTGTCCCCTTCGCCAGGGGATTTCTGCGCTCTGGGCTGCCGCCGTTCCGCGCCGTTGCTGGCTGCCACACAATAAGTGTCTCCGCGTTACGTGTCTTTCTGACCGGGGTCGTGGCAGCAGGCCTTCGCTTTGGGGCTTATTCCTTCTCACCTGACATAACAATCCCTTTTTCTTGCTTCACAACGCGACTTCCTACAGCCGGGCTCGGTCCCTCTGTCGGCCCTGCTCCGTCCTGATACTCAGCCTTGCACAGTCCTACTTTGTGTCTCCTTATCTCCAAAGTGGTCTCTCTCTTCAGTGAGATACAGGATTCGAAGTTCAGTCTTTTGCCCTACAAACACACATTTCCTATCTCCTGGCAGTGCTGATTACTCTTTCAGTTTAAAATCTTTGTGCATAAAAGGTGAATTTCTTGTGTGTCTTATCTTCAGTATCAGCCCCCAAGGAAATCTGAAATCTTTGCTAGGTTAAACTGATTTTACAACATCTAAAGCAAGGTAAAAAAGAAAAGAAAAATCCTGAACTTCATCACTCAAGGATGTTGCGTCCCTATCTGTAAATTCAGATAGGTAATTTTCTATGAAAACCAGTAACTTCAATGGCAGGACAAGGCACTTGTTACAGTATGGAGGATTTGGGGATGAGAAGACTAGGAAAACTTGAAAGGAGTATAATAAAACTACCAAATGCCACTAAAATGTAGTAATCCCCTGGTTTTAGGCAGTGGTATCCTTATCTTCCAAGTTATACAGCTTTTTGGCTCTGATACACTGGCAAATCCAGATTACCAGATCATCATGGCAAAGGGCCAAACAAACTACACTTGGAGAAAGTCTAGAGCAAACAGAAGTCTTGGCTGCACTTATGGACACTTGTACAACAAATAATACAACCAACAAATAATACAACAATTTCCTAGACAGGGCATGTATCCAAGGATACTTTTTTCATTATAGATAGCATGTGTTAATTCATGTAGAATATTTAAGTATGTGTCGCCTACATTTATGTTAAATAATTTTCGTAAGCGTAAAGAAGCTTACAGTGGCCATTAGCAGAGTGAAAATGGATAGCTAGGGAGAGTTTTGGTCCAGCCAAAACAGCCTACAGCCATCTTTACATTATAACAGTGTAAGAAGCTTGCTATTGTTAATAAAGCTGGATGGTGCAATTCACTCTTTGTAAGATTTCAGAGCCTGGAAGAAGGGAATGCCAAGAGTGATTAAAGCAATACATTATTCATGATTGAAGAAAATTGGGTCATACATACCATATCAAAGTGCATGCTCGGATATAGTCAAATTAGTGACAGGATCACTCCAGTTTATCTTTGAGATAAGCTACTCAACACATTGATCCTACAAATTTATGTTATGTAGCTGACGGTTATGCTATCAATTTCTACTAATGGTTTGAAACTCCAAACAAAGGTATCATGAATGGAATTAGAAACCTATCAATAAAAGATGCAACACTTATTTTAAGAAGTTTGTAAGACATAGGAAATATTTGATGAGGTTTAAAAAATGAGAGGGAAAATTATTTGTCCTGAATTCTGCTGTTGTCATCTGATGATCATTATCATCTTCAGCTGGCATCCTAGGCATTTATACTGGTATGATCACTCAGGGATTTCTGTCACTGACTGATGATCAAGGCAAGGAAAAATAATAAAATTTCTTCTGAAATTAATAAACTGCTATGGAATATTCTCCTGGATGATGCACTACCAAGCTCTTTGGAAAATACAGGACTTGATTTCTTCACCAATGAAAGAACAACCTCAGCCTTTCACACAGTTCATTAGGATAAGATAGTGGAGAAAACTTAGGTTGTAAAATAAGATGGGACAAAATAAAACCAAGATTCTCAAGTGCAGACTGTGTGTTAGTGGTTTAGAAGATCTGTCCAAACTGTATCTTTGTCCAGTCAGTGAAAAATGCATTGCTTTTGACAAGAAATTCATTTACATCAGTTCTGTGCTAATTTCTATAGGTCAATGTTATATTGCTCCAAGGTTAAAATAATTTCAAATCATCTTTGTCCAGTCAGTGAAAATGCATTGCTTTTTACAAGAAATGTCAAAAGCAATCAGAACATCAGTTCTGTGCTAATTTTTATAGGTCAATGTTATATTGCTCCAAGGTTAAAATAATTTCAAATGATAGAAAAAACCCTAATAAATGAAGAAATTACTGTCAAATAAAGATGAGAAAAGTGCAAGGAACAGAACAGGCCCACCAAAAAGTGCAGAACAGATAAGGCAGGAGTCAGGAATGTCAGGAATTCCATGTCAGGAATCAACATCTGTAAAACTTTCCTAACAAAATCTTCACTGCTGATGATCTCAAAACACCAGCAAGGACACACAAGCTTTATTGATGCTACTCATCATGTTATGTGATATAAAAGAGATAAATTACTTAGGGTCATTGTTCTTCAAGACTCAGAACTAAGCATTTGCCAAACAAAGCCTAGGAAATCATTAGAGCATGTAATATACCTGTGGAACTAGTAAAGTATAATATGGCAAATGTGCAATGGTGTAGAACTACAAATAGGCCAGGTAATGTGACAAAAAAATCCATTACTCGTACAGTAGTAATAGGATGTAATATATTTGAATACCACAACACATGAGCAAGTCTCTACCTCATATGTAATTCAGGATCATGTAATATGGAAAACTGTAAAATTGCCAGCATAATCAAAAGCCTCACAGAAATATAAAAATGCAAGTAGTCAAGTAATCTGTTCCAAAGAAATCCATAAAACTAGAAACAGCTGACTCACTCATAATCTGCATTATCAAAGTCTGATGATGGTGGCATCTCAAATCCCCAAGTATGATAGCATTTAGTCATGTCAATTTAAGAGGTAAAAGACATATTTTTTACTGTAAAATCTTACTGATGTGAATCACAAGAAAGTCATACTTTTGAGAAAAAGAAAACTGAAACATTTAGTGTGTCTTTTGTGTGAAGACACTTATCTATGCCTTAATGAAAAAGAAGACACATGTATTAGAAGTCCCATCACAGAAAAGGAAATGCTTCCCCAGTATCACTGGACTTCCGTATGTTAACTCTGGTCCTTTCAGACATAGAAACAGAAACAACCTTGAAAAAATTACTAAAAACCAAATGGTAGTAAGTAGCTACAGTGTAGGGTGACATAGATTAATTTCACAATGTAATATCTGCTTGACTTCTTGGTTCAGAATTTTAATCATAGTCTTCTCTTTGTCTACTATGACCAGCTGCTATACCTTTATGAGGAATTTACTTAATTTATTTGTTTCAGAATATGCCATAATTTTGACAAAGTTTCAAAAAGTATTTGCAACTCAGTATTTTAATTAATTGTGTCTGCATGAAACTCTGTGAAAAATCAGTCAGGTCTCCAGCAAAACATATCTTCATTAACGTGTCACATCATACCATACTTTGTGAGCAGAACTGCAGTTCTGTTCCAACACTTTCTGACAGCTAAGCTTCCTGGCCTAGGTTTCCTTTATGTATGTTATCTCTTCCACTGCCTGCAGTTCATGCTTGCTATTTGGCTTAAGAGAAAAATTATATGCAAGTAATACATATCTACAACACGCAAATATATTGATTGACATGCCTTTGACATGCATGTTCTGTCTGTCTGTCTGTCCTGGCTTGTATGTGACCTTTCGAGCACTGCACTTTGTGTGTGTATATTATATATGTGTACACATACACACGTACATGTGCACATACATGTTCTACAGAGATCTGCAGACAGGTGCAGCTGAGGTCCTGCCCAAGTAATCCACTGAATGCTGCCTCATCTTATTGACCTGTCACTAGAAGAATTTCACAGCATTCATCAGCTTGATAGAAGATCCCTGAAATAGGCGACAGTTTTCTATGTCAGTCATCAAGTCTGTCTTTTTATTCTGTTTTATTTTTAGGGTTCTTCCTCTCATCTCAGCTCCTCGATCTCTCTGCCTCTGCACTATACACCCAGCTTCCCTCTTTCCCCAAAGCCCACCCTGTAAAACAGGGTTCCTGCTGAAGCACCGAGGACCTTTTGGCACTGGGGAAGCAGGGTGTGGCTCATATCGTGTTTTGCATGCACTATGCAGCTGTCTCAAATACAGAGGCTTTCAATCCAAACACATTTATATATATCAAAAAATCGTTGGCACTGGTATTACAATAGGCTGAATAATGATATTTTAAAAACATTTGTGCTAATAAAGGAGAGAAAGAGCAGCCAAGATGAGAACTGGAGGGGTTTTGCAGAGCAGTGCACAGTTTTTATGCACAGTTAAAACAATGGTGAACAACAAGCCCGTCAGTCCAATGCTACCTCCAGTGGGTATGCTTTACAACTTGGATGATTCCTCCTCTCCTTAAGCAAATTTTCTATCTATGTCCAAAGTATTCCTACATCATATTCTTCTGATTTTTTTTTTTCTATAGAATATGTAAGCATTGGGTTTTTCTAGAACTAGGAACTTTATTCTTCTATACATTATTTGATTCTTTATTTTTACTCTGGAAGTGTGAATTTAGGAGGCTGTTTAACTTATTGAAAATGCAGTCTTCCCACTCTATTTCCATTTTAGATTTTAGCTTTTTACACACAAAAGAAAAAAAAGGAGAAGTTTCTATGAGGTGAATTTTAAATATTATGCAAAATTTAATAGCTCTGTTTTTTCTGTAATGTACATGTCATCACTAAAAATAAGAATACCTATTAATAACTATACAGGTGTCAAATAGTTCATCTTATCTTATCTATGAGATATCTTACCCTATATGTAAACCTGGTTCTTCAATAAGCTCATGTATTTTAGGTGAACTAAATATTGCCTGCATTTCAAACATATTTCAGGGAGCAAGAGATACACCCTTAATTTCAGCTATTACATTCACTATTATGTGAATTCTTGTGGACAATTGCATATTGTTATGGTTAGTCTTTTTCTCTTAGTGTTTTTTGAAAGGTTTAGTTAAT